AAACGATGTTAACACTTTCTCGTTCTTAATATATGCTATATTTAGGGTCGATATGTGTTGAATTTACTTTAAAATAGCAGATCACTGTGATTCACTTCTCCGCGGCTCCTCCGTGCAGAGAGGCCCCCCCCCCGTTGACAATTCACGAGCGTCTAACTCTCTCCCCCCTGTGAAGAGATATCACAGGGGGGGGTTGGGACACACACATTCCGATGGCCAATTCGTTTTAAACAAAGAGTGGGGTGGGGGCTGGTGAACGGTATGGTCAATGTTTGTAAACACTGTGACATTTTGACTTTATTTGATCATTTCAGTTAAAAACTAACGTTCATATTTCATATTACTGTTTTGCCTGGCTGGACCTGTAATTTACAGGAAAGGAGTGCACGCTACTAAAGAGACACGCTACCATGGAAACCAAACAATGGTGTTGCTGTATTGAAGTCCGAGTGGAAACAGTCATATTTGGAGCGTTATGTTAGAATGAAACAGCGAGGTCGTGACTCACAAAAAAAAAGTGTTACTTCACTAACTGTAAGCTTGTCACTCAGAGTAACCTACAGTTAACTTAACTGTTGGAAAAGAAAGATCAGAGTTAGGAGTGTGAACACACAGCTGAGAGCTGCCGTTTCATTCTGACTGTTTAAAAAACGGTAACAACGGACTATTTTTCTTAGCGGATGCATGTAAATTTAAATCAATACATAGAACTATGTTTTAAATCAATAAAAATATTTTCTAAATCCATAAAAGCATTTTAATTAATATTGGGAGTCATGTCGTTACTTTGTTGAGAATGTGGCCATGTAATAAGCGGGGTAATTTGCAGCGACTTGGTCATTATGGGGAAAAATAACACCCAGGGATCAAGATCCCTCCGCGACGCGGAGGGATCAGTAATTTTTAGTGAATTACTGAGTTTAGGCACGTTAATAACATTTTAATGAAGTTGAATACAGTATATTCATATTTGTCAGTGATTTCATGTCAATTCGGCGAACATAAACGATTAAATTAGGATTAAAAATCGAGAGCCGGCTGCTGTTCGTTACAGTAACCCAACTAGGACACTTGACACAGTGGCTTTTGGCAAAGCACACAAAGAAAACAAAAAAAACCGAGAGAGATGAATTATTGTTATTACAACGTGACTTCACTATTATTTAACAACTATTTTTATTGGGTTCTTTTATTTGGGGTTAAGTACATTGTCAGAATAAGTGAGAAATGGATTTAACTTCTGTTAGACAGCTATCATACTGAATAAATATTTATGCAAAAATGTATGGCATTAATAATGTATATCTAATTACATTTAAAAATGTATGGCATTAATAATGTATATCTAATTACATTAACTGTGAATGTCTTTCATTTTATTTAAAATGAAATAAAATTACATAAAACATTTTCCATAAAAAAGTTGATTCAAGAACAAATCAGTACTTTTCTTATATGACTATTATTGCTAAATTTGAAAGGTCTTTACCAGCTTTGGAATTATATATATATATATATATATAGCACCTTCTGCCATCCCATCTCTACTGACATATGGATCTTAACAAAGATCCGCTATACATTAGTACCAGATATACTGTACACGGACATTTTAGTGAACCAGACCAGCTGTTTCCGCCGGGTCTTCGCTTCCCGGGCATCACGTTGTTTACAAGTGTGTAGTGATGGGAATTATGGCTCTTTGAAGGGAGCCGGATCTTATGGCTCCGTTCCTTTCAAAGAGCCGTTCAAAAGAGCCGTTCAAAAGAGCCGTTTTTTTAAAAAGGGGGCGGGGTTACTAGGTTTATCTGCGAAATAATCACCAGGATAATGATTGACTGCATTGCCAGACCTAATGTCAATAATCTGCATTGTAAACATGACACAAGGTGGCGCCATATCCATGTCCTTCATGTCAGTGAATGTACTTTGAATTTACCCTCTGCATGTGTTAAGTAAATAAAGTTGCCTTGCCTTGAATGAAATTCACGCAACTCTTAATATTAGTAGTGTGTTTTTAAGTGGCGATGGAGATTATTTGTTGACCCTGCTTTAAAGGATATTTTGCCTTTACAAATGGTGCGCTTTATCACTGACTGGGTTTTGGTTGAAGTGAATCCAAATGCTGCTGCGTTTTCGCGTTTGGCTCATTTTACATCCGAAAAACACGTCGTCTATCTGTCCAGTACCACTTGTTATGACTTCTCTCTCTCGCGTATTCCGTTAAGACCCACCCCACCTAACTCCTCGTGCTGAAACCTACAAATCAGAGTAGGGGCGGGTCTTCACAGAATACGTTTGGGGAACAAAATCAAGCTTTTTAAAAGGCGAGTGAATTTTGGCAGGCAGTGAGTGCGGACCAACTTTGATTGAACGATAAGAAGAACGGCTCTCACCAAGTACGACTCGGTTCCCCTCGTTCGTACCAAAGAGCCGTTCAAAAGAATCGGCTCGTTCGCGACCGACACATCACTACAAGTGTGTTCAGATGCTAAATGACAAGTGCAAGTGACAATTGTTGTCGTCTTCTCTGTGAACGTTTTTTTCTCCGTTATTTTGCCATTTTCAGATTTAAATTTCGAGCGGAAAGCTAACCAGGAAGTAATAATTACTTAAGCGGAGAACGGAGAAAGTAAACGTTACAGCAGGCATAACAACAGCCGGTGTTTATTTTATTATAATATTCAAGAACAAATCAGTACTTTTCTTATATGACTATTATTGCTAAATTTGAAAGGTCTTTACCAGCTTTGGAATTATATATATATATATAGCACCTTCTGCCATCCCATCTCTATATATAATATCTATCCGTGACATATGGATCTTAACAAAGATCCGCTATACATTAGTACCAGATATACTGTACACGGACATTTTAGTGAACCAGACCAGCTGTTTCCGCCGGGTCTTCGCTTCCCGGGCATCACGTTGTTTACAAGTGTGTTCAGATCGTTCAGATGCTAAATAAAAGTTTAGCTTGTACTTTTGATACCCCGCCTCTCGGCACCACAACATCCAGTTTACTGTATTTCACATGAGCGATGTCGAACATTGAAAAGTCCTTATAAAATCTCTGTTATTAGATCAGTACTTTTCTTATATGACTATTATTGACTTGAACACTGAGAATGTATTTATTAACTTCAGACATTTGAAATATTTGAAATCAGATGAAAACAAACTGTAACGGACCCTGCCGTGTTATCTATGATTACTATGCCTTACTGTACATTCATAATTTCAGCCGGAGGTAGGTGGTAGGCATTGCGGAGGAGCAGATTGCGAGTGAGGTGCCTGTTCTAAACGAACTATTCCAGCTGTTATAAAGCATTAAATAAAAAGTAAGCAAGGAATACAGAATGTTTCGTTACGTAACTTTGTTGAGAATGTGGCCATGTACATGTAATACATGGGATCATTTGCAGCGACTTGGTCATTGTGGGGAAAAATAACACCCATCCTGATCGTTTCAATGAAGTTGAATACAGAATATTCATATTTGTCAGTGATTTCATGTCAATTCGGTGAACATAAACATCAATGATGATGATTAAATTAGGATTAAAAATCGGGAGAGCCGGCTCGTTCGTTTTTTCCGACTAAACAACATCTATTATTTAGAAGTTGATTTCACATGACTCCAGTGTGGAACCCCACTGCACCCCCTGGTGGATCAATGATCCATTGCAGCTGGCTTCACAATAATTAAATGTATTTATCATGGGGGCGGTATCAAGTCTGACTGGGGGCCGGCCGGCCATCACGGAACGTGCATGAACCGATCACGACCCTCGCACTTTAAACTGTCCAAAATAAGACGCTTCATCTGTATATAGTTTTAGTTGGATGTTGGTGTATTATAGTGTATTCTTACTAATTGTATAATCTATAGATGTCGTATAAACGTACTGTTTGTTTTAAATGTATGACAAAGCAGCTGTAACAAAACAGTGTTTCACTTTGGGATCAAAAAGTATATCTAATCCAGGGGGGTCAAACCCAAGGCCCGGGGGCCAAATCCGGCCCGTGACTTCATTTTTTGCGGCCCCACAAGAGCTTGCAAAGAATATAATATGTTTGTTATACGGTTACATGCCGATTTACAGAAGCACGTTGCCCATAAACTTCATCTCCCACAATGCATCTCAAATTTCACTTTTTTTGAGTTTGACTTTTTTTCCAGAATGTGGCTTTTCTTTTTAAATCATTTTGTGACATGGCTCACTGAAGAGACTTGCAATTATTTGCCCTAGACTTCTGCTTTCAGACGTAGTTAATTATGAAGTTATTACCCTATCCCATAATAATCCAATGCAGAGACAATAATGTAATATAATACATTATTTCATATATATTAAATATTTATATATGTATTTTTATGTAGTCTTAAAGTTACAACCGGCCCGTTGAGTGCAACCATAATGCTGATGTGGCCCGCGATGAAATTGAGTTTGACACCCCTGATCTAATCTAATACTTACAGTACAAAAAGTTTTCAAAAAAGAATCACCAAATTGTCAAAATACTCTGTTATAAGTAAAAGTCCTGCATTTAAAATATAATATTTGATATATAATATTGACTCATTCCTAGGTTTTAGCACTAATTCCTGCACCACTCTTTATGTATGTGAGTAGAAGTATAAAGAAATCATATATACTGTATTGTCCTAAGAGTCTTTGTTTTTATAGCTTTTAAGGGCATTTGTACAGTTACATTTACATTTAAATGTGGTGTAAATACTTTTTTTATGCTAAATTATTTCTTAAAAATACTTCTTTTTATTATCCTTGATTGTTTATGTTCGCACCACCAGATACCAAAGCAAATTCCAGTTTCAAAATGGTACTTTAGTAAACGTTACGTTCCACCTCTGACTGCGTTAAATAACAAGCAGAGAAAATGCCTTGTTTGAACGTGGGTCAAACTAAAGGAGGTTTTCCAGCTTCTGTCCCATCTGATTTCAATATGAATGGATCCTCTGATGTTTAATCTACCTTATAGGCCAACTTGGAGGGGCATTTCTTCCCCAGGCCTAGAGGGGGCGACATGTTGGTCAACATCTCATACATGTCAGTGTAATGGATACGACCACTGGTGAGGAAGAGGAGGGAGTGAAGGATGGGAGGAAGGAGGGGAAGTGAATAAGGAGTTAAGGAGGAAAACAAGAGAGAGAGGGTTAATCCAAGGCCTCACGCAGGAGCAGGGAGGAAGAGAGGAGAAATTAAAACAGGTTAATTCTTTCTATGCTGCCGGACGGGCATAGAAACGTGGGAAACAGGAAGAGCAAAGAGATTGGCCGACTCTCTGGATCTGAGCAGATCCAACAGGTAGAGAGACACAGGATTCCTCTGCTTTTTAATAGACTTATTACAATTAAAAACCTGCATGATCGTCTAGTTGCCAGCATAGTGGAGCTGGAAATGTTGAGACCCCAAAGTTTTATGATAGAAATGTACAGTAGGGTCCCCAGCACATAGAAACTGCCGGATGCTAACTAGAATATGTTGGGCAGTTTGCACAATTAGCAGTTAATTAGCCTTACTGTACTTAGCATCTGCAGACAGTAGCTAAAACAATGGCTTGGCCGATTTGGACAACTTAGGAGTGGCTTTGGTCGTTATTGAGGATGTTGAATCCATTTATGACATTTTCAGGATCAAATATGGCAGTTTAAACCAGAAAAATTGCCAAATTGATACTAGAACTGCGCTGATTTTGATGAATATTGGGACTCAAAACTGCAATTCTTTATCCTAATTTGGACAATTTCTGTGTGGTTTTGGAGGTTATCGAGGATGTTGAGTCAATATCTGCCATTTTTAAGATCAACAATGGCAGTTTGAGTCCACTAAAACTTCAAAGTTCATCAAAATCCGACCACAGGACTACAAATATGGCCACTTTCTGGTGAAAAAAGCCAATTTAGATTCTAAAAATGTCAGAGAATGTATTCAATAACCTCCGAAACCACAAAATAGTCCAATTCAGCCATTTTATTTTGACTATTGTCTGCATATGCTAATCAACCAACTGTATGCTAATTGTGCAAACTTCCCAACATGCCGGTTAGCATCCGGCAGTTTCTATGAGCTGGAGACCCTACTGTACATTTCTAACGTAAAACTTTGGGGTACTCAACATGTCCAGGACTCTATGATCTGGTAAACAGACGTCGAGGGTCTTCCTGTGTCTTAGTACCCTGAGCCTCATCATTCTTTGACTGCCTCTAAAAGTGAAGCAAGGCTGCAGGAAAGGAGAGGAAGGAAACGAGGAGGAGGAGGAGGTGAGGAGGTGAGGAAGGATCCCACACTAAGAGTCAAACCTTGCAGGCCACCCTGTGAGGGCAGTTCCTCCCAAAGCCCAGCGGGGGGGAGATAGTGCGGACAACTTTGTACATTTCCTTATAATGGAGCCTGCCGCTGTTAGATAGAATAACATCATTAGAGACTCAGATACTGCAGCGGGTCGGGAGCAGACCTCTCCTCACAGCAGCAGTTTCAGGACATTTAGACAGTAAAATAACAATCTGTTTAAAACAAATCTGTAATAAACACATGCATACTTAGTTTATACAAGCATTGCATTGTCAGGGGGTGTTTCTCAATGTCGAGGAAGGCTGCTCCAGAGCCACTATTTCAAGCATACTACGTCATCGAGTGCCGCCGAAGGACTGTTCCAATGTCCAGCATACTTGGAATTCTACCGTAATTCGTAGCGAGAAAAGTCGAGGCTGCACATGTGTAGACTCCGCGGTCTTAAAATCCCCACAATGCTTTGCGCACGGACCAATTTCCAAATATTTGGCGGAAATAGCGCTCCATTTAAGGCGGGGTCTCTCATATGACGCACACCTGTTAGCCTGTTCCACCATTCTTTGTTTTCCGAGGCTAGGAAGGATTCTTGCCTCGCTTCTGAAGCAAGTGACTCGGAAGACATGTGCTACCAAGCAAGCGTCCTCGACATTGAGAAACACCCACGATCATGAGTAGATGTCTTTATATGCCGTCAATTCTTTCCGTTGCAACCCAATAGTGCGTTTGACATCCAATATTAGATACTAAGAAAGAAAATGGTAGTATATATTTGACATTGCATCGTCACAATTATGAGTGAAAGTCAGTTGTCTCTGTAGCAACTAGTTTAGAAGCAATAGACATCAAGCATTAGATACTAAGAGAAAAACATGTAAGTTGTTCATTTACAAGAAAAATACTCAGTCATTTAAGAGAGAAAACTCACACACATTTACAGGATGAAAACTCAAATATTCCCTGGGATTAAAAAGTCCTATAGTGATAAATAGTGAAAATGTTCTGATGATGTAAAAACACATTTATGAGAAAGAAACTAAGAAAATCTGTGTTTTTCTTTTTTGATTTTCTACTCACACTTTAGTGAGTATTGTAGTTAAAACAGTAATAAATGACATAGCTGTAAGAAGGGGTTATATTCAGAGAAAATACATTTTACATCTCAAAATTAAAGTTATTGATTTAGCAGAATATTACTCTGAATTAAGTAGTCATTTAAGAGAAATAACAACATTTTACAGGATAACAATTCAAATATTCTCTTAGATTAAAAAGTCATAAACTAGTGAAAGAAAAAATCTAGTTTTTCTCGCAACAGCGTGGTACTGTACATGTAAACAACATGTCTTTAGTTTCCTTGCAGACTGAAAGTGCAGGGTGAATGAGGACTAAAGGCTCAGTGGTACATTTATGAAAACAGATCATTAACTTCCCACAAAAGATTAATGCAGATTATATGTATCAGCATGACAGTAGACCACATCATTTGAAGCAGTGTAATCTGTAGCATCTGTATATTGCACAGCAGCACTGTTAAAGAAACGTTAGCATTAATAGCATCAGGCTCTCACCTGGCGGCGCGGTCGTACTCCCCCCAGATCCGGACAAACTCGTCCAGGTGATGAGGGCCGAGGATGGACGAGTCTCTGGTCAGATACTCAAAGTTATCCATGATCACCGCCACGAACAGATTCAGCATCTGAAGAGGAGAGGAGGGACGATATTCATTTATAGGAGGGGATGTGGGAAGTTAAGAGGGGGGGATAACCCTGTAAAATAAATCAACAGAAGTTTTGTTGTTGTGTTTAAAAGGAGTTATTATCTCTAGTTTGGCACCGCTAAGCTAAAGGCGGCTAATGTTGGGCTATAAAGGAACTACAGCACGGTCACATGACTTCACGTCAACACCGCTAAGCTAAAGGTGGCTAATTTTGGGCTATAAAGGAACTACAGCACGGTCACATGACTTCACGTCACCACCGCTAAGCTAAAGGTGGCTAATGTTGGGCTATAAAGGAACTACAGCATGGTCACATGACTTCACGGCACCACCGCTAAGCTAAAGGTGGCTAATGTTGGGCTATAAAGGAACTACAGCACGGTCACATGGCTTCACGTCACCACCGCTAAGCTAAAGGAGGCTAATGTTGGGCTATAAAGGAACTACAGCACAGTCACATGACTCTCTAGTCTTACCAGGAAGGAGCTGAAGAAGATGAAGGAGACGAAGTAGAAATAAGCGAAGTCAGAACCACAGCCCCCCTCCTGGTCGGATGTTGGTACTGCGAGGGGGAGCGAGGTGTCCGTCTCACACTTCTGTCCCCCGAGACACGACAACATTATCTCCTGCCATGACTCCCCCGTGGCACTCCTGCACAAACACACACACACACACACACAAACACACACACACACACACACACAGTCATCAGGTATTGTTCAAAATAAAAAGTTTAAAAATTCCCTTTTTTTGGTTTTCTTTGCAGATGTTATGCAGAGGTTTTGTTTTACCTGAACAGCAGCATCAGAGCTCCAGAGAAAGACTTGAAGTTGTTGTGCTGCGTGATGTGAGTCTCCTCGTTCAGCTTAATGTTCCCAAACACCTGATTAAAACACAGAAACACCAGAGATGTCAAAAGTACACACATCCGTTACTCAAGTAGAAGTACAGATACTCGTGTTTAAAAATACTCTGGTAAAAGTAGAAGTACTGACTAAACTTCTTTACTCAAGTCAAAGTAAAGAGGGCTTTGAAATGTACTTCAGTAAAAAGTACCCATAACTAGCAGCTGTTTTAAAGAGTACCTGACCTCCCTTTATATTAATAGAACAATAATGTCATTGTTAGCTAATGAATGTTTCCATGCTGAACAACGGCAACATGACAACGTTTTCATTGGTCCCTCTTCTTTAGAGAAGACCAGGAAATGATGGATACACGGATCGTGTTCAAATCAATAGGCACGCAATGACTCTAAATAATAATGATCACGCCACCAAACACACATTCAAACTAAAGGAACCAGCCTGTTTGGAAAATGTGAGAAGTAGAAAGTACAGGTATTTGTGTTCAAAATGTAAGAAGTAGAAAGTACAGGTATTTGTGTTCAACATGTAAGAAGTAGAAAGTACAGGTATTTGTGTTCAACATGTAAGAAGTAGAAAGTTCAGGTATTTGTGTTCAACATGTAAGAAGTAGAAAGTACAGGTATTTGAGTTCAACATGTAAGAAGTAGAAAGTACAGGTATTAGTGTTCAAAATGTAAGAAGTAGAAAGTACAGGTATTTGTGTTCAAAATGTAAGAAGTAGAAAGTACAGGTATTTGTGTTCAACATGTAAGAAGTAGAAAGTACAGGTATTTGTGTTCAACATGTAAGAAGTAGAAAGTACAGGTATTTGGGTTCAAAATGTAAGAAGTAGAAAGTACAGGTATTTGTGTTCAAAATGTAAGAAGTAGAAAGTACAGGTATTTGTGTTCAAAATGTAAGAAGTAGAAAGTACACGTATTTGTGTTCAACATGTAAGAAGTAGAAAGTACAGGTATTTGTGTTCAACATGTAAGAAGTAGAAAGTTCAGGTATTTGTGTTCAACATGTAAGAAGTAGAAATTAAAAAGTGGTCAGGAAAATAAGTAGTGGAGTAAAGTACTGATACCAGAAACATGTACTTAAGTGCAGAAATGAAGTATTTGTTCTACACTACTTCCCACCTCTGAGAAACACACATATAGTATTATACTCATTTTGCGTGGATACAAATGCTATACAGTGTATGTAGTATATTAAACCCCCCCTCCACAGTGTGTGTTGCTCACCTGCATGCCGATGATGGCGTAGATGAAGAACAACATGGCGATGAGCAGGCAGACGTACGGCAGAGCTTTGAAGGACTGAACGAAGGTCCACAGAAGGATCCGGATGGTGTAACCCTGACGCAGGAGTTTGATCAGACGAGCCGCTCGAAACAGCTTCAGGAAGCTCATGTTGAACGTGTCCACGAACTGCAGGAGGACACGCAGGGAAACTGGGGTTAGGGTACAGGTGCAGCTCAGCAAAACAGAAATAACTCACAGCTTCCAAACTTAACACAAAAAGTAAGGAAAAATGCCTCAGCTGGTTTTGTACAGGATTGTTGCTTTCCAGAATTTGAATCATTATGGTTCATTGCAATTATTGAAAGTCGCTTTTGTTATTGCATATGAGTTAGGAAAAGAACAAAATAAAATATAATCATAAACAGTAAATATACATATCAACAGTAGAAAGATATATGTAGAGATTGCACAATACAAAATATACAGAATATGTTAGAATAACATACTATATACAGTACATCTTAAAAGTGAGCTGCAGTTTTCCAAAATGTAAATGCAGTGACGCAGTGTGAGTACAATGAGTGCAAATAGTTATTGACATTACACATACTGTACTGAAGAAACAGAAAGAGGAAACTAAACTTTAAACAAAAAGTAAGGAAATTGGTGTTTAGTAGATTATTTCTTTGTTGTAACAATGCTTCTTGGCAATACATCTTATAGCATTGGAAAGCCTGTTTATTTATCTTTTCAAATGGTGCCACATTTGGAGGAACAAGCATGAGGAGGAGAGGCTCTTGTGGCTGTGTTTGGTTCTTCACTTTTTGTTTTAAAGGGGACCTATCATGCAAAATGCACTTGTGTACGTCTTTTCTACATGAATATGTGTCCCCGGTGTTCCAGGGAACTCACCAAGTGTCAGAAAACACAACCCTCTCTATTTTCCTCCATACCCAAATCTCTAAAAAAGGGGCTGCAACGGATCTGATAAAAACTGATCCAGATTTGAACACTGTCCTGACGTCAGGACGGTGGCGCTACGGCTATTGGGCCAACTCCACCAATCAGGAGGAGACAGACACGGCCATTGCTGTTCGAAAGCGCTGGAGACGCTGTAGTACATATGCCAGGCCTGTAGATGGTGCTGTTCTCACAGAATCAGCCCAGAGCTAAAACAGATCTAAAAAATGTCAAATTGAGCGAAATGAGGCATGGCTAAAATGCATGATCTGTTTGGTATTTTGAAAAAAAAAAGTATAAATATGCCTTATATAGGTATGGTCCTACACTATATTATTCAAATATAGCATGATAGGTCCACTTTAAGTTTAGTTTCCTCTTTCTGTTTCTTCAGTACAATATGTGCCATTTCAATAACTATGTGCACATATTGTACTCGTATTGTGCATTCTTTAGATACTGTACACATATCTTATTTTCAAATCTTATTATATTTTGTTCTTTAAAAAAAAATTCATAAGCAATGTCAATGCTCGTCTGTGTATTCTGTCACAAAATCTGTGTTAATACCTAAATGTTGCACCTGTTATAAATATCTGTTTATAGGTATTAATCAGTATTTTCATATACATACTGTTTTAAAATGCATGCCTGCTCTTATTAGAGTATGGAGCATTTCATTGTACATCCTGTGTGATCCTATTGTTGTGCCTATTTGTAGTGAGCAGTGTGTGAGCAGACAGTTTTCAACTGTGTTGCAAACACACGCTGTTTTGGGGTTCAATAAATGGTATTAATAGCAAAAATGTTGTGGTCGTTAACAAAAATTCACAGTATCAATCCATGGAGATATTGAGTGGCAATAATCACGTCACCTATTGTAGTCTATATGTATATGTTTGACTTATTCCTGCACTTTATTATTGCTCTAAAACCCAATTTATTTATTTTAATGTCTGAGGTAAATGTGTGTTGCATTGTTGGAGGAGCCTGGGATTGAAATGTCTCTTTGCCGTATGACAATAAAGCCTTTGAATCTTGATATAAAAGCAAGAGGTTCAAAGTTCAAGGTGCGATGTTAGTACGACCTTACTGTATGAATGCTGCATGCAACAGTGCGTACTTTGTAGGATCAGCTGCAGTACAAATACAAATAAAATCCCGATGTTTTTCTTACCTGCACGTCCACCACGATCTCTGTGATGCTTCCTAAAACAGTGATGAAGTCAAAGATGTTCCACGTGTCTCGAAAGTAGTTCTGCAGAAACGGTAGAGATTCTGTGAGAGGGATCTTGAAATTCACATTCAAGCAGGGTGTTCATCTTTTTTATTCCTCACCAGAAAACCGAAGGCCATGATCTTGAGGACGCACTCCACAGAGAAGAGGACGGTGAACGCCGTGTTCAGGTGCTTCAGAACGGCCTCGTACGCTGGAGGGGCGGAGTAATACTGAGCAAAGGGGAGAAATACGTGTTAGGAGAAAGATACTTAAAGTGGATTACTTAAAGGTCCCCTATTATACTGTTTCTCATCAATACATCACAGGTGTCAGATATATACAGAACCTGTCTCTGATTGGCTGAAACACCAAACAGATCATTGCAGCATTACCCATAATCCCCTCTGTTTCAGCCCTGTTTCCAAAGTGCTGATTCTCTGTCTGTTACTTTAGATGAAAATAAGGAGCCCCTCCCCACGCCCCTTTCCTGTTCACACCGCATGCGGAGCAGCGTCATAAAGGTAGCTCCGGAATCCGGTTTCGTTTCGAGCACCAAAAAGTTGTCCGTCTAGAAGCAAGAACCGCATACGTCACGCTTACGTCGGAGGGGGGGGCGAGAGTAACCTGAGCTAAGCACTTAAGGCGAGTACGGCAAATAAAAGTTGTAACAAGCAGTAGTGCTGAGCAAAGTGACTAGAACGCAACCACACACACTTGTTAAAAAAAAACACACTTATAAAGTCAGGCCAACACTAACCAGGCTTCGGTGATTCTGTTTATTTGTACCTTACTTTGACCATCCGTTCGCTGTTATTGATCATTGTGGAGGAGCAGGCAGAACGTTTTGTTTGTTATTATAGCAGCTATCGGATGGAATCAATACATGGGCTGCACAGGTTGTCATGTCCGACTATCACAATTAGAATCATAATGAAAAATACGTCGGTAAAAAGTGCCTGTAGAAAAACTGCTTAGGCAAGTAGTCAGTTAGCTTCGGTTGCTATGCTAACATCACCCCATGTTATACCAGAGAAACTTTCATAACAGCGTTGTGATATGCCAAACAGCGTCAATTCAGACTGACACCAAACAGCGTCAATTCAGACTGACACACATTCACTTAAGGGGAACTGGGGATATGTATCAGCTGCTGTGTGACAGTCAGACAGTGAATACTTTAGAGCCGTGTGAGCTAACCCGGAGCTACGGAGAGATACACTCGTGGAAGAGCAGCAGGCCAGCACTGCAGCTGTCGGTAAATGCCGCTGAAACACATTAATAAACAATGAACCCACGGCACTCTGGAGAAAAGTATAAGGTTGGAGAAGTCGTTATTTAATTTAATCTTGGCTTCGTATGATTAAAAGCAACGCAGTCCCCGGCCCGTTGTTATTGTGAGGTGAGCTCCGGCGTTGGGGAGAAACTCAGCGACGTAAACTGTGACGTCATGACGCAGCAGCGGCAGCACCAGTCGGGCTCTGAGGTAGAGAGATTTGGTTACAAAGACTCAATGGTGCTCTAGGAGGAGATTCCAGGTGATAAGGGGGGGGGGGGGGGGTTACCCCTTGGTTGCTGATTGGCTAATGGTTACACAAGACAAACATCGTGATACATCATGAAGTGGCCAAAATCTGATCAGCTCATTTTCAGACAGGTTTTATAGAATGGATCAGGACAAAAGAGAGAGAATCTTTGTTCCTAAACTTTCAGAGTCTCTTTCCCACAGAGGGGACACATGTTGATGTAGAAGAGACATGAAGAAGAGGGGACACATGTTGATGTGGAAGAGACATGAAGAAGAGGGGCACATGTTTGATGAAGAAGAGACATGAAGAAGAGGGACACATGTTGAGTAAGAAGAGACATGGAGAAGAGGGGACACATGTTGATGAAGAAGAGACATGAAGAAGAGACATGAAGAAGAGGGGACACATGTTGATGTAGAAGAGACATGAAGAAGAGGGGACACATGTTGATGTAGAAGAGACATGAAGAAGAGGGGACACATGTTGATGTAGAAGAGACATGAAGAAGAGGGGACACATGTTGATGTAGAAGAGACATGAAGAAGAGGGGACACATGTTGATGTAGAAGAGACATGAAGAAGAGGGGGACACATGTTGATGTAGAAGAGACATGAGAAGAGGGGACACATGTTGATGAAGAAGAGACATGAAGAAGAGGGGACACATGTTGATGTAGAAGAGACATGAAGAAGAGGGGACACATGTTGATGTAGAAGAGACATGAAGAAGAGGGAACACATGTTGATGTAGAAGAGACATGAAGAAGAGGGGACACATGTTGATGTAGAAGAGACATGAAGAGAGGGGACACATGTTGATGAAGAAGAGACATGAAGAAGAGGGGACACATGTTGATGTAGAAGAGACATGAAGAAGAGGGGACACATGTTGATGTAGAAGAGACATGAAGAAGAGGGGACACATGTTGATGTAGAAGAGACATGAAGAAGAGGGGACACATGTTGATGTAGAAGAGACATGAAGAAGAGGGGACACATGTTGATGTAGAAGAGACATGGAGAAGAGGGGACACATGTTGATGTAGAAGAGACATGAAGAAGAGGGGACACATGTTGATGTAGAAGAGACATGAAGAAGAGGGGACACATGTTGATGTAGAAGAGACATGAAGAAGAGGGGACACATGTTGATGTAGAAGAGACGTGAAGAAGAGGGGACACATGTTGATGTAGAAGAGACATGAAGAAGAGGGGACACATGTTGATGTAGAAGAGACATGAAGAAGAGGGGACACATGTTGATGAAGAAGAGACTTGAAGAAGAGGGGACACATGTTGATGTAGAAGAGACATGAAGAAGAGGGGACACATGTTGATGTAGAAGAGACATGAAGAAGAGGGGACACATGTTGATGTAGAAGAGACATGAAGAAGAGGGGACACATGTTGATGTAGAAGAGACATGAAGAAGAGGGGACACATGTTGATGAAGAAGAGACATGAAGAAGAGGGGACACATGTTGATGTAGAAGAGACATGAAGAAGAGGGGACACATGTTGATGAAGAAGAGACTTGAAGAAGAGGGGACACATGTTGATGTAGAAGAGACATGAAGAAGAGGGGACACATGTTGATGAAGAAGAGACATGAAGAAGAGGGGACACATGGTGATGTAGAAGAGACATGAAGAAGAGGGGACACATGTTGATGAAGAAGAGACATGAAGAAGAGGGGACACATGTTGATGTAGAAGAGACATGAAGAAGAGGGGACACATGTTGATGTAGAAGAGACATGAAGAAGAGGGGACACATGTTGATGAAGAAGAGACATGAAGAAGAGGGGACACATGGTGATGTAGAAGAGACATGAAGAAGAGGGGACACATGTTGATGTAGAAGAGACATGAAGAAGAGGGGACACATGTTGATGAAGAAGAGACATGAAGAAGAGGGGACACATGTTGATGTAGAAGAGACATGGAGAAGAGGGGACACATGTTGATGTAGAAGAGACATGAAGAAGAGGGGACACATGTTGATGTAGAAGAGACATGAAGAAGAGGGGACACATGTTGATGTAGAAGAGACATGAAGAAGAGGGGACACATGTTGATGTAGAAGAGACATGAAGAAGAGGGGACACATGTTGATGTATAAATATATATAATCTCTCTCTCTCTCTCTTGTTCCCTCACCAGTCCTCTGAACCTCCTGCAGATCTACAGGTTGATGGAAGAGTCCTGCAGACCCACAAATAGTCTCTCAGTCTGCCCACCTCTCATCTGTGTCACTATAAAAGGATCCATTCCTCGAGGGCAGGCAGCCTCAGTTAATGAGGTCATGCTAAATAGCAGCCTCTGGACATTATCGATCAATATTTAATACAGGCTGTCTCACTCCAACCAGCACAGCCAGAGTGAAGAAAAAGTCAAGGTTAGGTTTCCTGACAATCGCTCCATTTGAGAATGTAATAAATTAAAGAATATTTTTTAAATATGTACATAAACATCAGGAGTAAAGGGAAGAATGTGTAATCAAATATCAAAGAAAATACAAATAAATGAACAAAATAAACATACTTATAAAAACATAGCAAGTAAAGGTAAAGATATGCAAGAGAAAATGTATAAAATATTATGTTTATACAAAATAAAATCAAAGTACAAATATTCACATAAGAAGTCAAAAAATTGCAATACAAATAAAACGTCACACTCAGTTGGAAAAGGACTCATCGGCTTCTACCGTTTCCAGTAAGCAGTGACACATCTCGGCGTGTTTTAAAACCAACGTGTGAACAGTCGCAGGTTCCTGACAGAATAAGTTGCTGAGAAGACATTTAGCAAACAAGTGGAAAGCTGCACGTCATCTTTAGGACTGAGAACACACACGTGCATCCATGGAGGGTCTATTTTACATTTGGGAAATCATTCAATTACAGTTAAGCTTAGGCCTAACATATCCAGTGAGGGTTAAGACCATTTTAGATCACGTGAAAGCCCAGTCCTCTCATCCCCAAATACAGTTTTGAGTTATCTACTCATCAAACCAACCAGATTGTATTAGTGTTTTAATGAATTTCTCAAAAGAGGTACACAGTCCGTTATGAACACTAATTTGTCCTTCTTTGTGTTAAACTTCGGGCAACTTACGAAGGCTAGTAAACTTATGAAATGAGACATGTGTTCTTGAAATGTATAGCTTGAATGTCTGTAGCTCTTAACATGGTGAGGGGCAAGTCAATAGATGTTAGATCATGCTGGGGCGGTCGTGGGGTGGTGGTGGGGCAGGCGAGCAGCAGCAACATGACACACAGCAGCAGGAACATGAACGTAGCAGTAGCAAGTGAACACAGCAGTGGCAGCAGCAGCATTAGGGAGGCAGAGGCAGGAAGACCTGGCAGCTTAAATAGAGTGGCATGTTTAGGAGAATGTGTTTGGTTGGTTGAGGGACGAGGTGCGTCACGTGTTAATGTATCATTGGTGCTCGAGTTGACTGCCTGAACTAGCTCGCAGGCTTTGCCCCATTTAGTAGAAACAAGTCCCCGGAGCGAAGCCGAACTTTGAGAATTTTGATAAAAAACACATTTTTGAAAAAAGTCAGAATTTAAAAAGAAAATCGAAATCTTGCAAAAAAAAGTCAGAATTTTATAAATAAGTGATATTTTTTTGAAAAAGTGCGATACATTATTTATTTTTTTATTTTAAAACACAATTTCGTGAAAAAGTTAGCTTCTTTTCGAACAAAGTCACATTTTGAAACCTGAATGAGACCTGTTAAAGCGCTATATAAGTAAGTGTCCGTTTGAAGTTCATCCAACCAGGACCCTAAAGATTCAGATAGTGACTCCTCTCTGTCCTTTTTCTGATAGAAGACAGTAAAAGTAACGTGTATACTTATCTCATTTACTGGGTTGGGGGTGGGGGGTATATTTGATCTGCTTTTTGGCAGTCTGGTTTAAATGTGCACGGTTGAATCTACAGTATGTATTTGACTGCTCAATGACATTATGATTTTTCTTATAAAGTGTTAAAGAAGACAGTAAAAGTTACTTTAACTTTAGATATTGGTGGAACCTGCGACACCAGAACTTATTCTAGTTTTCTATAAAATGTACTACTGCAGTATTTTCCCTCTCTTCATCCCCCTCACCTTCATCATCAGTACGATGGTGTTCAGAGCGATCATGGCCAGCACGGTGTACTCGAAGGAGGGCGACACCACGAAGTGCCAGAGGCGGTACTGGAAGGTGTGTCGGTTCTGAGGCATGTAGCGGGTCAGAGGCTTCGCACTGAGGGCAAAGTCTATGCACGCCCTCTGAAACACAGGAAGAAGGGGTTAAAGCAGGGGGGTCCAAACTTTTTTCGCAGAGGGCCACATACAGAAAAATATACAAAGGGCTGGGCCGCTCACAGGAGGTATACTGCCTCAGAGGTTCAGTTAGGAGTCAGCTAAATCAATCAAATGTAGGTAAATGATGCTCGTGAGTGTTGGCAGCTCATCCCTTAAAACAGACACACACACACACACACACACACACACACACACACACACACACACACACACACACACACACACACACACACACACACACACACACACACACACACACACACACACACACACACACACACACACACACACACACCACACAATCTAATTTCCTGTCATATCATTTGTGTATATCCTCTGTTGTTGTTTTGATGTTGCCTTGATAGAAACATTTGCATCACTTATTATGAAGTCATTATTATTATTATTATTATTATTATTATTATTATTATTGTCTTCTCTATATCACTGTGTAATATATACAATATTTCAATTGAGCCTGCACTGTTTATGATTTGTTATCTTTGTCATGATTTGATATGTTGTATTGTGCAAAACTTTTAAAGAAAGAGTGCAATTGTATTTTAGGCTTTACAGAATAGACTGTTCATGTGTACTTTGCATCACCGTGTTCCTGTAACCTCCAAATACACTTTGGCCCAATTCCAAACCGCCCCCTACACCCTACCCCTACACACTACCCCTCCGTTCGCGCGGGGTCCGCCACATTAAGTGCTGTTCCAAACCAACGAGTGTGGAGGGGGAGTGGGCTATCAAGCCCTCAAACAGCGAGTCTGCAGCGGTGCTGACTTGAGACCGGTCTCTACCTGACCGGAGTCACGCTGTGTGTCCATCAGGAAACACGCTGTTTACAAACAGTTCCAGCAAACATCCACTGATAAACTGCGATGTTAACAACCTCATGACAACCTCATTTTTTTTTTACTTAGGACAGGGTTTCCCACACATAGACTATACTTGGGCGGGCCGCCCAGGTATATTAACGGCCGCCAAAGTATATTTCGTGACCCATTTAGGTATTTTTTTATTATTTAATTTTATGCGACCACGACGCCATCTGCGATCGATTAGCTAGTGGACAATGATCCTTCGCTCTACGCCTGTACCTGTTCGCTCTGCCATCGGGTGAAGGGTCTGCTAACAAGCGACCAACAGAAAGGTTAATGTTAATGTTGTTGCACGTCACCCCCCCCCCCCCCAAAGTATATACCAGATATGTGGGAAACACTGCAGGATCGTACCTGTGTTTAGTCTAGAAAAAGGTAAATGTGTGCATTTTATTATAAAGTTGTGTATATTTACAGACTGTTGCAAAAACTAAGAAGCTTATAAACATCAGGTTTAAAACTAAAAGAGCTTTACAAAAAAGTAACACAATTAAAGATGTTTGGAGTTTTATTTGAGTTATTAATTGTAATGTTTTGTCAAAGAGATGCTGATTTGAAACCGTTGTTACATACAGTTACGGCATTTCCTGTTTCTGCCGGAGAGAGGGGAGTTTGTCCCAAAGCTTGCCGCTGTATGTACTCCCTCCATCTGACAGGAGGGAGCCTCGTTGAGCTGCGAGCGTCACTCCACGGAGTTCACTCGGTCACGGAGGGGGAGTGGGTAGGGTGTGGTTTGGAATTGGGCCAAAGTCATTACAGAGCTTAAGTTGTCCTAGCTTTTAAGTAAAGGAAGTACGTCTTGTTTAAACGTTTATCAGATAATTTTGGGTTGTCCACATTTGTAACGAGAGTAAATTAAAGTACATAATTCCTCCTTGGAGGTTTCCAAAAGTGTAAAATATAATAGAAAACCGAAGAGAGACAGAAAAGTGTGAATAATGAAATAAAAAAAACTGCAAAAAGAGGCTTACGGGTCATTAAAAACATTCAGAAACAAAGCGAGCTCAGAGAGGGTTTTGTTTATCGTCCCTCACCTCATTCTTCTCCAGGCTGCACTCCTCCATCATCTTATCCCCCTGCTCCTGGAAAGTGATGATGATGAGCGCCACGAAGATGTTGACGAAGAAGAAAGGGAAGACGACGAAGTAGATGACGTAGAAAATGGACATCTCCATCCTGTTGCCGTGGCTCGGACCTCTGTCCTCCTCCGTCACGTCCACTGAGTGCTGGAGGACCCTGGAGAGAGAGGAGACACCATGCTAACTGATGCTAACTGATGCTAACGGATGCTAATGCTGATAAGAGCTCTAGAAACTGGTAAGAAAAGCTTTAACAGCTTGAGAAGAGGACTCATTTGACTGTAACACACACACAAAGTAATGCTGATTCAATTCATGAACAAGTGTAGACTTATACACACGGAGAAAAACTGAACCGTTGACTTTAATTAAATGTATTACGTCAACAAATTGTTGTTATTTTTCTTCTTTACTTGCTTATTAAACACCAGGAGAAGCACTTTATATATGACATGTATTATTATTATTATTATTATTATTATCAGTAGTAGTAGTAAATTCAACATAACTTAAAGTCAACTTTTCAGTTTTTCAGTGTGTACTTTTGCAGCGATAAATAGTTTGTTTACTGGGGTGGAGATCAAAAGTCAATTAGCTATTTAATTCCCACAGAAGCTGTCAATTAATGAGGGATGGGACGATAGAAACCCGGAAGCACCGTCAGAGAAATACTGGATTAATCCTATTTTGGAATAACGACGGGGCAAAACCTTGAGTTAAATTGATCATATTCATAATATTTCCTTCATCAAAGAAGGATTTGAGCACGACGTAAGATCACGCCCAAAGTTAAAAAGGTTATAATGTGCATGAGAGATAATGAGAGCTGTGAGAATGGGAAATGATGTGCGGGGAGACTTCTGTTGAAGGGTTAGGATGAGGATTATTTGGAAGTCATAATCGTCCAAACACAACAACAATTTGCAAAACATACCCAAAGTAAAAAAAAAAAAAAAAATGTATAAAATGAGAATTTGGAAAATAATCTGAAATGTGAAAAAAAGTGAGAATTTTGAAAAAAGTGAGAATACAAAAAAATATATATGTTTTGAAAATAGTCCGAATTTTAAAAAGCAAATCAACATTTTGAAAAAAAAATTTCTTTGAAAAGTCAGAAAGAAGTGAAGTAAAAAAAAGAGTCAGATTTATTTTTAAAAGACAGATTTTTTCTTGAAAAAGTGAGGATTTTGAGAAAAAAGCTGGAAATTTGAGAAACAGTGAGAATATTTTTTTTAAAGTGATTTTCTTTTGTCAGAATTTTGAGCAAAAGAAAACACAGGTTTTAAAACCAACAAAACAACTAAACACAAAAAAAAACATTGAAAAAATACCCAATTGTTTTTGTGTGTTTGTTGAAATGTCATGTGTTTTTTAAAAAGCTTGTAAGTATTTCAGTCAATCTTGTTATGTTTAACTAGTCGTTGTGTTTTGACCTTCAGGGCCACCGTACAGTAACACACAGGCTGCAGTCAGGGACTCACTGCGGCCAGCCTTCCCCCGTGGACACAGTGAAGAGAGTCAGGAGAGCCCAGATCACATTATCATAATGGAACTCATGACGTCTCCACTCCCTCCTCTTCACCTCCTTCTTATCCTTCGCATAGTCTATGTAGTAACCCCTAAAGGAGGAAGAGGAGGAGGAGGAGGAGGAGGAGGAGGAGGAGGAGGAGGGAGAAGAGAAAAAAGTGTCAAAAGATTAGAACAAAAATAAAAATTCAGAAATGTAAGGAGCCATAAAAGAATGGAAACAAATAAAAAAGGCAAATGAAGTAAAAAATTAAAATCATAATATAAAATAAATGAATAATAAAATAAATGAATAATAAAATAAATGAATAAGTACGCTGAAGAAATGATAATAAATGAATGAATAAGATGAATAAACATCTGAGTGCAGGATGGAGGGAGGAAGAGGAGTTACTGGCAGTCCTTCTCCGTGTCCTTGGAGCTGTCGCTGCAGAAGAAGAACTTCCCCTTGAAAAGCTGCACGGCGATGACAGCGAAGATAAACATGAACAGTTTGTAAACGATGAGGATGTTGAAGACGTTCTTCAGAGACGTCACGACGCAGTCGAACACCGCCTGCAGGAGGAGGAGGAGGAAATCAAACACGTGGTGAGGGAGAGACGAAGGACCTGCCTTTCATGAAGCAGATTCAGTCTGTACACTGAAACCCATGAGCACAGGCTACAGCTTCAAGAAGCAGGACTAGCACCAAGCAGAGACTGCATTATCACCAGATCACCTGTGCTACGTTCCCTATAGTCTAGGGGGAAAGGGAAGCAACACAATATCAAATAACCGGGAGAAAGGGTCTCAGAAAACCCTGGATCTGGCTTTTCAGACTCCAAGCTCACATTAAAGGTTTGTTTTAAGTAATGATGTAGAAAGGTTGAGCCCGTGTCCGAGGTATCAGACCTTCTTAATGTGAGCTTGGAGTCTGAAAAGCCAGATCCAGGGTTTTCTGAGATCCTTTCTCCCGGTTATTTTATAGTGTGTTGATTCCCTTGACTATAAGGGAACCCTGACACCCTGACTCCCTGACCCCCTGACCCCCTGACTCCCTGACCCCCTGACACCCTGACTCCCTGACTCCCTGACACCCTGACTCCCTGACCCCCTGACCCCCTGACCCCCTGACACCCTGACTCCCTGACCCCCTGACTCCCTGACCCCCTGACTCCCTCCCTTTTATTGGTTGCTGTGTGTTACTGTCTCTAGACCCTATAAGGGAGGTAACATCTGGATTATCAGTTATGGTATATAACTATCTACAATGAATGAGATAAGGAATGATTTTATTGATAAGAAAACCTGCGTATCATGAAGCATATTCAAATATGAATAAAAAAAAGTGAGAATTTAAAAGAAGTGAGAATTAAAAAAAAAAATGTCTGAATTTTGAAAAAAGTCAGATATGTGAAATAAAGTAAGAGATTTTAAAGATTTTGCGCGAATATTGAGATTTTTATAGAAAAAAAAAATGTTATTGAAAAAAAGTCAGAATTTTGCAAAAATAGTGAGATTTTTAGAAAAAAATAAGGATTTTTAATAAAAGTGAGAATGTTTTTAGAAAAAAGTCAGTGATTTGAAAGAAATTGACAATTTTGAGTAAAGCTTTCTGATCCTTTTACAAAAAATCCAATATGCTCTTTTTAGTTTTTACTAACATAATAATCCTGCCGGTAATCCCCAATATTTAGAAACATTTGACAGAAATCAAATTGTTTTATGAAACTGTCAGAGAATACAGTTACTGCTGTTTCATATCCTCATTATGTAATCCATTACTTTCCATACCTGCACGTACATCAACAACACTGCGCTTTTTTGGCAGCACGCCTGGGAGCTTCTGACTATAGATTTCCGTTGCTAAAACCACACGTAGCTTCTGTGCGAATGACATAAAGACGGACCTTGAGTTTGGGAAGTCTCTTGATGGTCTTCAGCGGTCGGAGGACTCGCAGAACTCTCAGAGACTTGATGGTCTTTATGTCCCGTCCTTTGTTATTTCTGCACATAAAGACCACAATATCATCATTTTAGACACTCGTAACTTGTTTTTCTATCTTATTCATCAATCACAGCATGGTCTACTAATGTTACACACGTTTAGAGTATTTGTTCAAAGAGAGGAAGAGGTTTTATTTGTATTTACCCCATCACATTGCTGGTGGTCAATCCCACAGAGGCATCACGGATAGATGGAGAAAAACACAAGAGAGGGACACGCACATCAACAGTCAGAAATTTAGAGAAAAGTGAGAATGTTTTTAGAAGAAAGTCAACATTTTGAAAAACAAATTATTATATTGAGGTCAAAAAAGGTAAAAACACACCAACAGTTTAAACACATTTCACAATAACCTTTTAAAAAACCAAACATTGCAAAAAACACAAAATATAATTAACGAAAAAATGTGTGTGTATTTAAATGTATCCAAAATATACACAAAATAAAATAAACACACAAAAAACTGAAATATAAATACTAATATAAAAAAACACATTTTAAAATGTTCAAAACTATTTCAAGAAAACACCAACACAGGTTTTAAAAACCGCAAAACAACTAAATAACACAAAAAGATCCATTAAAAAAATACCCAAATGTTTTTGAGTAAACATGATTAGTGTTTCAGGATTTATTTTTGTGCCTGGCAAAATATCACGTGTTTTAAAAGTATTTTCGTCAACTTTCTTGTGTTTTTTAATGAAATTGTCATTGTGTTTTGACCTTCAGGGCCACCGTAGAATTAACACACATATAGGGTGTTTCTCAATGTCGAGGAAGGCTGCTCCAGAGCCACTATTTCAAGGATGCTACGTCATCGAGTGCCGCCGAAGGACTGTTCCAATGTCCAGCATACTTGGAATTCTACCGAGGCCGGCGTCCTTCGTTGCGAGAAATTTCGAGGCTGCACATGTGTATCCTCCGCGGTCTTAAAATCCCCACAATGCTTTGCGCACGGACCATTTAAGGCGGGGCCTCTCATATGACGCACACCTGCACGCCTGTTCCACCATTCTTCGTTTTCCGAGGCTAGGAAGGATTCTTGCCTCGCTTCTGAAGCAACTGACTCGGAGGTACATGTCCTACCAAGGAAGCGTCCTCGACATTGAGAAACACCCATAGAGTAAGAAGCAGGATGGAAGAGATGTCTGCATGAAGTCAAACCACATTTCCAGTGGATTTAAGCATGTAGGGAAACAACAGAATGATGTCCAGCTGATTTAAAGACACCCTGATGTTCAGACTTATGGTCCATGCATTATGGATTAGTATTAATATTAAAAGCTGTGACTGACGAGAGGGCGAAGGCCACCAGCGCTCCCACCACCACGATGAAGTCCAGAACGTTCCACAGGTCTCTGAAGTACGAGCCGTCGTGGAGGAGAAGACCCTGGTCGATCATCTGAGGAAAACACAGGATTAGGAATTAAGAAAAGTCTTCCTGCAGCGTGCAAGGGAATCATACATCTCCGGGAATAACGCAGATCCAAGCTGTCGGGGAATATTTTGCTGAGGTATCTAACCGTTAACCTTCTTATCGGTGCATAGGTCCCACAGGCGTACATTCTTGGGCCATGGACGACAGTTTAAAGGGGACCTATCATGCAAAATGCACTTTTGTACGTCTTGTATACATGAATATGTGTCCCCGGTGTTCCAGGGAACTCGCCAAGTGTCAGAAAACACAACCCTCTCTATTTTCCTCCATACCCAAATCTCTAAAAAAGGGGCTGCAACGGATCTGATCAAAACTGATCCAGATTTGAACACTGTCAGGACGGTGGCGCTACGGCTATTGGGCCAACTCCACCAATCAGGAGGAGACAGCCATGGCCATTGCCGTTCTAAAGCGCTGGAGACGCTGTAGTACATATGCCAGGCCTCTAGGTGGTGCTGTTCTCACTGAATCAGCCCTTGCTAAAACAGGGGTAAAAAAGTGCAAATTGAGCGAAATGAGGCATGGCTAAAATGCATGATCTGTTTGGTATTTTGAGAAAAAGAAAGTATAAATATGCCTTATATAGGTATGGCCCTACACTATATTATTATAATATAGCATGATAGGTCCACTTTAAGTTACATTTAGTGCCCTGTTTGTTTAGTTAATGAAGAAGGTTGATCATACTCTCTGAACTAGTTCATACCTCCGACTACGGAAGAGATCTTCAGAATTAGTCGAGCAACCGCTGTGTCACCTCATGTCTGCAGCACATGTCTTGTCAATTCTCCGGCTGATATATAAACCATAATTAACTTCATAAAAAACCTTCAGTGTTTGACATCAAGCTCCAGCTCGCCCTGTGTCTCTCTGAGTTTCGTCTCCATTGCTTCAGAAGTTTCCATCACACAAGCTTGTAGGTCTTTTTTCTTCTTAGTAGATTAATCAGTATGTTCTGCAATAAATAAACTGTTGTATTGTTTACCTTTGATTGAAACAGGAGGAGACTTCTTGATTTGAATGTTTTCTATGTTTTCCTTCATACAACTATTTTATGGTGTTAAATTATATTAATGTAAAAGTCTGTATATAACGATGTTAAAAATGTAAATAAACATATTGTGGAACACATTTTTAAAACTGTCAGGGAATAATTCTGTATACATGTTTACCTTTCCCCCTCTGACTCAGATGACCAGCCTTGATCAGCCGCTATCTCCCTTAAGGCTAGTGCCTGTTGCACTGTTGGAGGAGCCTGGTGTTGGGGAATCATTTTCCCTAGTGTCCTAGATGCCTTGAGCAGCCGCTATCTCCCTTAAGGACACACTCAAAAGTCCCCTTAAGGAGGGGCTGCCCTAGCAAGTTGTTGTTGTCACCAGTTTGTGACCGGGCAGCTCTCGCTCAGAGATAGTTATTGTTGTGGGACACCTGGAACACATCCTTCTCGGGGTGTAGATGACCCCGAGCCATAAGCGACAACAAATGTGATTCAGTGTCCTCAGCTGTTTAGTCTATCTATTGAAGAATGTAGATTATTACACTCTGAACTAGTTAAAACCTGGAGCTACAGGAGGGGTCTTCAGAATTGATGGTGGCATCTCAACCGTGTGGTCAGACCGTGGCCCGTGACATGCCGTGTGAATTCTCCGGCCGAAGCTCCAAATAAACCGTCAGTGTTTGCCATCAAAGCTCCAGCTCTCCTTGTGTGTCTCTTTGACTCCCATTGCTTCAGAAGTTTCCCCCACAAAAACCTCTACAGTATGTCAACAAAACAGAATGATAAACCTGGCTTTGACAGCTGGGGAAGTTTGTAGGAAAGTTAAAAAGAAGTAAACTGTTCTTAATATAACTCCTTTGGGACTTGTTTAAATAAAAAAGGGCGACTTTTTTGTTATTTGGACCCAACGTATAGATAAATACAACTGGATTTGAGGGCTTGGAAAGGCACAATGCTTCTTTTAATGGGTCAAAACAGTCGTGAATGATGTGCCGAACATCTCCGTTTTCTTATTCATTTGTAATCAGACTTAGTTGTCTAATCTTCAAACTTCTCTAGATGTTGAATAAGGCAAACAGGAATGCCCCAAAGCGACTTGTAGTTCCTCGTTTTGTTGCAACGTGTATGTCCCCACCTTGAAAATTGTTGCTGAATAAAGACACATCTCCTGTATATTTGTCACCACCATTTCTTGCATCAAATCACCTTCTTCTTCACAGAGTCGCTCACCTTTATAATCATCTCAAACGTGAAGACTCCCGTGAACACGTAATCAAAATACCGCAGAACCTAAAAAGAAGGACAGTAAAAAGAAATATATAAGGAATTCATGTAGCATAAAACAGATAATAACAATGTTTATTTCACAAATAAGCTGAAGTTCCTCAAGTGGATGATTCGATGTCAAGACATGTGGAGCTTTTAAGGATCTCTTTTTATGCTTTAATATAAAACATTCTCCTCTATATGGAAACACCAGATCATTCCTCCAGGTTCAGTGCGTCTAATACTGAAATGTCTTCATGCATTAGTGATTTTTACTGCCCCCCCATCAAGTCACATTAGAGTCCTTTCGCAAAACGATTTAAGGAAATGTTTGAAGCTACTTAGTTATGAAGCTATGAGACCCAAGGCACAGATAAACACAGATTGAAATCGTATAGCACAGTGGTCCCCAGTGACTATCAGTCTGAACCATGTTTTATTTCGAAAAATTACCGAATATATCCGTCTGTGCGTCTGCGTCTCTGGACACATGTCAACACCATAGATCAGGGGGGTCCAAACCTTTTTCACCGAGGGCCACATACAGGAAAATATACGAAGGGCTGGGCCGCTCTCTAGAGGTTTATCGCCTCATAAGTTCAGTTAGAAGTTAGCAAAATCAATCAAATGTAGGTGCATGATGCTTCTGAGTGTAGGCAGCTCATCCCTCAGAGTGATTTTAATAAGGAGAAATATGAAGGGTAGATTTCAAGCTTGGAAATAAGTCAATGGGCTTTTTTCTTATCAACTAAGATATGTTAGAAAATGTTTCCAACTTTAATTGACTGAATTTATTTGAGAAGTGGTCTCATTAACACGTGAATACTACTGTGGGATATATTTTTACATTTATATTTAAGAAGTACAATATAAGACAAGCACAAGTTTCATTTGTATTCCATTATACTTTTTTAATTTGCTGAGGGCCGATTCAAAATGGTCCGCGGGCCGCATTTGGCCCCCTGGCCGTAGTTTGGATACCCCTGCCATAGATCAAGATGCTCGTCTCGGTCACGTGACACTTCTCTCTACTGAGCTCCGTGTTTGTTGGCCTTTTATTTGTCTGTCGTACAACAGCACTCGTTTCAAGAAGATATTTTGATCATGATGTTTCAGCAGCGGAGTTCATAACATGTAGACTGAAGCCTGATGTTTACGGAGGACAGGACAGGTATATTCCGGCTTAGATTGGGTGTTTGTCATCACTTCACAAGCGGTGCGCCTTGCTACCTTGAAATTAAACTACTTTCAACTAAGGACACAGCTGTAAGTGGCGTCTACGTCTACAAAAGTTGATTTGAGCACACAAACACGGCGCATGTGAAAGGCGTTGTGTTTGCAAATGATGGTTTTCCTCAGAGGAAAAGTGCCAGAGTGTCGTTACGGCAGCACATCAACCCTGTAACCCCCCCCCCCATACTTTGAAGGCCAGTCCTTGAGAATATTGTGTTACATGAAACCGGTTTGTGGCGCAAAAAAGGGGGACCGCTGGTAAAGCAGACGTATTCTCTCTCACACACACACACACACACACACACACACACACACACACACACACACACACACACACACACACACACACACACACACACACACACACACACACACACACACACCTTGTTCCAGTTGGAGGAGGTGGCTACAGGGTCTTCAGCAGCTAATGCTATGCTGCTAGCTGCTATCACCAGCAGGATGCACATCTCAAAGTAACGCAGATTCACCACGTAGTGACAGACCCGACGCACCCTGTGGAGACAAGAGGGGGGAGTATACATGTTATATGTGGAGTATAATCATTCATATTCCCATGGTGTTATAAGTCTGTACCCGTGGATAAACGTACGGGTTGTCAGGTTTGAAGATGAACATGCTGTCTGGAGTCACAGCCGGCTTCGATTCCTCTTCATCCTCCTTCTCTGATTTACAGTCAGGGTCCTTACTCTTCACTGGAGGAAGATCAGGGGGGAGACAAGGAGGTGAGGAGGAGATGGCACAGTGAAAACATCAGCAGGAGAGGACTCTTTAAAGTAGAGACACTACATACTGATATACACCTGAACATCAGCAGGAGAGGACTCTTTAAAGTAGAGACACTACATACTGATATACACCTGAACATCAGCTGGAGAGGACTCTTTAAAGTAGAGACACTACATACTGATATACACCTGAACATCAACAGGAGAGGACTCTTTAAAGTAGAGACACTACATACTGATATACACCTGAACATCAGCAGGAGAGGACTCTTTAAAGTAGAGACACTACATACTGATATACACCTGAACATCAGCAGGAGAGGACTCTTTAAAGTAGAGACACTACATACTGATATACACCTGAACATCAGCAGGAGAGGACTCTTTAAAGTAGAGACACTACATACTGATATACACCTGAACATCAACAGGAGAGGACTCTTTAAAGTAGAGACACTACATACTGATATACACCTGAACATCAGCAGGAGAGGACTCTTTAAAGTAGAGACACTACATACTGATATACACCTGAACATCAGCAGGAGAGGACTCTTTAAAGTAGAGACACTACATACTGATATACACCTGAACATCAGCAGGAGAGGACTCTTTAAAGTAGAGACACTACATACTGATATACACCTGAACATCAGCAGGAGAGGACTCTTTAAAGTAGAGACACTACATACTGATATACACCTGAACATCAGCAGGAGAGGACTCTTTAAAGTAGAGACACTACATACTGATACCTGTGATGGTGGAGAGCTCCAGGCAGGACTGAGCGTTGGGAACCTCGATGATCACGCTGGAGCTGAGCGGACATTTCTCCTTCTCCGTCTCTTCTTCGTTTTTCTCTGGGACGACGGGAGGATCTGGATCTGATTTCTGAGGAGTTTCCTCCGTGTCTCCGATGTGGATCTGACTCTCCTGTGGGTCAGTGTGTCCTCCTTCAACCAGACTGGAAATACAGAGAGAAAGTATTTAAGATACAGACAGAAGAACAATGATATTATAACACTTGGGTCGGTGCTGTTGATTGGTGATTGTATAGTCCAAAAGCTACAGGAACCACTATCATTGTTTTTCCGTTAACTGTCAAGTGGGAACTAAGTATTTTTTTGTGTTTCTCTTATTTTCCTACGATGCTGTTATGATTCGCTGTAAGATAAGAACATATGAAGGACAGACCATCTATTTGTATTTATTTATATTTTTTGAGAAAGGGGCAGGTCATATCAGATTATTTTCTCCTCCCTGCTCCTTTTCGGTTACGGTGTGTTTATAGAGACATGTTTTGTAAATAATTGTTAAACATTAAAGGTAGGGTAGGTAAGTTTGAGAAACCGGCTCGAGATACACTTTTTGTTATATTCCATGGAATGCTCTTAACATCCCGATAGCAATGAATATCTTAAGTGCTTTGACAAAAAATCCATAAAAAAATGTCATCTGTGGAAGCCGTAGTACTGTAAAAAGTACGACCAATCATCTGAGCCGGCCCGGCTAAAATAACTGGATGGCCTACCTGCCTGTCAGCCTTCCATCGGGGCACAGACTTATCTCGTGCCCTCATTGGTCATGTGTGCGTTCGTGTGTGTTGGAGGAGGGGCTCTGTAAGGAAGTGGCAGATTTTTTCCGGCTGTGTATTTTCAAATTCTAGCGCACTCGAGCCGGTTTCTCCAAAATTACCTACCCCACCTTTAAGTTGTGCATACCATGAACGGAACAAATACAAATGAAATGAAATTGATGCTTGAACATGGATTCATTCATTAAAGGAAGATCTAAATAATACTCTGACGGTTTTATTTATCCCACATATGCTAAATTGTATTCTAATTAGCATTAGACGACCTGTGTGAATATATCTTTGTTATTCTCTTAACCTTATACTGTAACTTTCTCTTGGGTATTCCCGAAGTTCTGTGATCAAATCTATTTTAAAGTCTTGTATAATCTTTTTAGATCTCGAGGTAATTTAAAGTCAATGGCAGTGAACATAAATGTGACATCCTGTAGATAAATCTGAGGAACTTGCAAATTGAAACTTTTCTATGTTTTCTACAATTGTATTGTGTGTAAATTATATTAATGTAGAAGTCTGTATATAAGGATGTTAAACATGTAAATAAAACATATTGTGGAACAACCTCTGACTCTAATATGTCAACAAAACTTGGAATTTGCATCTCTTCTTCAATCATTCCTTTCTTTCTTGACTTTCATTTAACCTGTTTACCAATTCTAAAAACCCCAAATAAACACAAAACAACATGTTGGATGAGTATCTCAACCTCAGAGCACATTACAACAACTGAGAACGCACGAACACACACACACACACACACACACACACACACACACACACACACACACACACACACACACACACACACACACACACATTACCATTATACATCACTTCAGGGGACATTACATTGACTTACATGCATTTCCTGGAGACTTATCCTAACCTTAACCATAACCAACACATGCCTAATCCTAACCCTAACCCTTACCCTAACCCTTACCCTAACCCTAACCCTAACCCTAACCCTAACCCTAACCCAAACCAAGTCTTCACCCTAACATTAATGAAACTATTTACTAATATATATTTAGACTGTAAGTGTAAATATGCACATTGACATTGAATGTTATTTCGTTGCAGTGTCACCGCTACTACCTCTGCTTTTACCACTCTTATTTATTTATTGTGTCTATTTTTTACTGCAGTGAGAGTTGCCAAAGACATTTCGTTGTACTTTGTATGATGACAATAAAGATATATTGTATTCTGTTCTATCCTCTCACCTGCTCTCCTCAGGTTCGCACCCTTCTTTTTCCTCCATGTTGGTCTCCACCTCCTTCTCCTCCACTCTCTCCGGATGTTTCCTCCTCTCTCTGCTGGCCGATCGACTCCCCGTTTGGCCTCCGTTCCCGGGTGATGACGCCTGACTCTTATTCTCTCCGTGATGCCTCCCCCTGCGACCCCTGACCCCTCCGTGACCTCCCATTTCGGGGGTCAACAAATCCAGGTTTTCAGGAGGTCTGAACTTCTTCACCGCTCTGTGTTGTCGCTCGCCGTTTAATCTGGGACTCCTGCGCTCGCTGTGAGTCGGATTAACGGTGAGTTTTGCGCTCTCAGCTACAGATTCAGCTTCAGATTCAGGTTTAGCAATAGGTGCTTCAGAAGGGGGATTCTTTGTAGGATCTTCCCCAGAAAGAGTGGCATCCAAAGGCATATCCAGAGACACAGAGGAGTTTGAAGCAGGGTTTTTGGACGGCGATGCTAAAGGGTCTTTTTTTAAACTCCCGGAAAGTGTGTTCTCCACGGTTTTTCGATGCAGTGACTGTGGACGTCCAGTAGGGGCAGCGTTGGAGTTTGGGTTTCCGTCCTTTTCCTCGTTTTGGCTGTTGAACAGAATCTCTCGACTGGACATCTGTCGGTGTCTCCTCAGCTGGCTGGTCCTCTGCTCCCACACCGACATGGTCATCCTCTTCCTCCGCTCCCTCCTGGACATGAAACAGTGAGAGGGGTTGAGAGGGAGGCCACGACCCTCCTCCAGACTGCAGGAGTAGGTGGGCCGGCTGCGGTGGATCGCTCGCTTCCTGTAAAGGTAGGGCCGCCTCCTCCTGCTACCACTGAGAAAAAGAAGAAGAAGAGGAACATATATCAGAGAAAATAAACATTTTATTATTAACAACACATTTACAAGGGACAGTTCACCCGGAAATGTAAAATACATATTATTCCTCTCCCCTGTAGGGCTGTTCATCAATCTAGATAGAATTTCTGAAGTAAAAAGCTAATGTTGGGCTTTAAAGGAACTACAGCACGGTCACATGACTTCACGTCACCACCGCTAAGCTAAAGGTGGCTAATGTTGGGCTTTAAAGGAACTACAGCACGGTCACATGACTTCACGTCACCACCGCTAAGCTAAAGGTGGCTAATGTTGGGCTTTAATACAGCGCGGTCACATGACTTCACGTCACCACCGCTAAGCTAAAGGTGGCTAATGTTGGGCTATAAAGGAACTACAGCACGGTCACATGACTTCACGTCACCACCGCTAAGCTAAAGGCGGCTAATGTTGGGCTTTAATACAGCGCGGTCACATGACTTCACGTCACCACCGCTAAGCTAAAGGTGGCTAATGTTGGGCTTTAATACAGTGCGGTCACATGACTTCACGTCACCACTGCTAAGCTAAAGGTGGCTAATGTTGGGCTATAAAGGAACTACAGCACGGTCACATGACTTCACGTCACCACCGCTAAGCTAAAGGAGGCTAATGTTGGGCTATAAAGGAACTACAGCGCGGTCACATGACTTCACGTCACCACCGCTAAGCTAAAGGAGGCTAATGTTGGGCTATAAAGGAACTACAGCGAGGTCACATGACTTCACGTCACCACCGCTAAGCTAAAGGTGGCTAATGTTGGGCTTTAATACAGTGCGGTCACATGACTTCACGTCACCACTGCTAAGCTAAAGGTGGCTAATGTTGGGCTATAAAGGAACTACAGCGCGGTCACATGACTTCACGTCACCACCGCTAAGCTAAAGGTGGCTAATGTTGGGCTTTAATACAGTGCGGTCACATGACTTCACGTCACCACTGCTAAGCTAAAGGTGGCTAATGTTGGGCTATAAAGGAACTACAGCACGGTCACATGACTTCACGTCACCACCGCTAAGCTAAAGGAGGCTAATGCTGGGCGTGATGACGTTTAGTAGTCTCATTTAGACACTTGTTAGCCAATTTAGCACTCAGCTATTTCCACCAAATAGTGGATATTGATAAATAGCACAACAGGGAAGAGGACAAATATGTGCTTTTGATTTTAGGGTGAACTGTCCCTTGAATACACAGAAGGTTTTATCTCTGGTTTATCTTTTATTTATTTATTTATTTGAGTATGTATTGTTATTGAAAACATCTTTGTTTGCATGCTGTGAATCCTCAAAAGTCTCATTTGATTCAAAGTAAAGTTTCTGAATCTGTTTCGACTGATTTAAATTCTTCTAGGTTCCTTTTTCATTTGATAAAATACAATGAAATATACACATTGTTACCAAAGAAAACAATATCACAGTATGTGTGCTAACAATGCTTTTGTCTGATGCTCAACTAATAGGAGCTGTTTTAAATCAACAATAACAAATCACTGGATCGATGGAGATGTAAAGTGATAAATTATGCAAGCCAGGAGTTGTTGTGAGACTGTGATAACAAAAGGAGTAAGATGCAGAGTGAAACCAGTGGGAGAGATATAAAGAAAAGTGGAATAAAATGAGGTTTGGAGGTACAGGACAGAATATGAATCAGGCTGAGCGACAGAGATACTTACTGGAGCGAGGACTCTTGTGTGGTCCGTGTTATCAATGAGCGATTGGTTGAAAACAAGACATTAGTGCTTTTGTGAGCGGAGACAAAACAGAACAGGAGACACACAGCAAAAGATCCGCGAAGATAAACACAAACAACACGACTTATTACAGGCTGATAATGCCATGTTGTTGAAAGGTAAAGGTGCTTTAATAGACTACAAAATGCATCATTTGTGTTGTATTCTATGGTGGCTGACAGCAAACCCATTACAACGCTCTGAAACTCTTCCATATAAAAGCAAAGACAAACTGACTCAAAGACAGTTTCTTCCCCAGAGCATCATGAATTATTTCCTGCACTTTATTTTGTTATTATTTTATGAATGTATGAATGCTGCGTGTCTTTGTTGTTGTTGTCTTTCTTTGAATGTTTTGATGGCACCTTAAAAAGGAGTAGCTTTACTCTTCTTGTTGTACTTGTATAATGACAATTAATGCTTCTAATCTAATCATTAGGAGAAACACGCTGCAGTTAAAAAAACTATGCAGATATAAAAACACAAATGTTCCAAAACACACTCAAATGTAGACCCACACGCTGCAATTTGAAAACACAACGGAAACCAGGGGACACTAAAAAGTGACGCACACAGCTTGGAGATTATAAAGTTCAAGTGGACCTATCATGCTATATTTGAATAATATAGTGTAGGGCCATACCTATATAAGGCATATTTATACTTTTTTTTTTTCAAAATACCAAACAGATCATGCATTTTAGCCATGCCTCATTTTGCTCAATTTGACAATTTCTAGCTCTGGGCAGATTCAGTGAGAACAGCACCACCTACAGGCCTGGCATATGTACTACAGCGTCTCCAGCGCTTTCGAACGGCAATGGCCGTGGCTGTCTCCTCCTGATTGGTGGAGTTGGCCCAATAGCCGTAGCGCCACCGTCCTGACGTCAGGACAGTGTTCAAATCTGGATCAGTTTTTATCAGATCCGTTGCAGCCCCTTTTTTAGAGATTTGGGTATGGAGGAAAATAGAGAGGGTTGTGTTTTCTGACACTTGGTGAGTTCCCTGGAACACCGGGGACACATATTCATGTAGAAAAGACGTACAAAAGTGCATTTTGCATGATAGGTCCCCTTTAACCAACTGTTTTTTTTTATTTGCAGCGTTTCATTAATCAGCGCTTTTTAGAAACTCTGCGCATGTGTTAATAATAATTATAATGCATTTTATTTATAGAGCGCTTTTCTTGAAACTCAAAGACACTTGACAGAGTGAAGTTAGTAGTGTTCTCAAGCTGGTAAGGATGTTTCTTCGTTTGCATTTGTTTCGGCACATTGGTGATTTTACATTTGCATTGTTTTTGAAAGCGCAGCGTGTTTCTCCTTTTGAGGTGCCATCGAAACATTCAGAATAGACAACATACAACAAAGACACGCAGCATTCATACATACATAAAATAATAACAAAATAAAGTGCAGGGAATAATTCATGATCGCTCTGGGGAAGAAACTGTCTTTGAGTCTGTTTGTCTTTGCTTTTATATGGAAGAGTTGAAGCACGTTTTGAACCTGTCAGCCACCGTATAATTCAGTTATAAGATCATGTTTGATGTTGCAACCTTATATTTCCACCTTGTTGAGACATTTGTAGTGAATAAAGTATGAATTTAAGAGTCTCTCGATGCTTTGCTGTGTGTCTCCACTGGAGCCAGGCGGCACATTGACAAACAAGATGGTAGCAGTATTAGAAACAACATTAATAAACATCAACAGTTAGAACAACATTGATAGGAAGACATCGTTACTACAGTATGGGTACAGGTAGAGAAACACAGAGATGGGCTCCGTCAGCAAACACGGGAAAAAAGTAGATAAATATATTTTAGAAAAACCGTTTGAAACAGAACCAGCACAGTGGGATGCAGCTCTGCACACCGCCCTCTCCTCCGAGCAAACACAGCATTCATAAGACATGCTAACAGAGCTAAAGGAATGCATGTGCAGAGAATCAAGATATTACAGGGTTCAACATTAATGTGTTTTTTTTACTCGCCTGGTTGGTCAAATGCGTAAAAAATCCACATGTCCTATTTCACTTGCCCCTTACAAGTAGTTTTTTTTATTAGCAGTTATCAAACACTTATATTTTTCCTTTAAAAATTCTCACTTTTTCATAATTCTCACTTTTTTTAAAAGGATTTTTGTATTCTGACATTTTTTCATAATTCTGACATTTTTTCAAAATGCTCACTTTCTTTCAATATTCTCACTTTTTTCAATATTCTCACTTTTTTCAATATTCTCACTTTTTTCAATATTCTTGATTTCTTCAAAATTCTCACTTTTTTTCAAAATGCTCACTTTTTTTCAAAATGCTCACTTTTTTTCAAAATGCTCACTTTCTTTCAATATTCTCACTTTTTTCAATATTCTCACTTTTTTCAATATTCTTGATTTCTTCAAAATTCTCACTTTTTTTGAAAATGCTCACTTTTTCCAAAATTCTCACTTTTTTAAATATTCTCTATTTCTTCAAAATTCTCACTGTTTTTCAAAATGTTTCGACTTTCAAAATGTTGACTATTTTTCTAAATTCTCCCTTTTTTCACATTTCTGACTTCTTTCCTTAAAAATTCTGACTTTTTCTCTAAATTCACATTTATTCGGTGTGTCTGCACTCAAGAGAGACATTGCGGGAAAATATTACTACATTTATTTTTACATTTTTAGTTACTTTACAAATTAAGATTGCATAAAAAACACAGATACACTAAAAAGTATCCCCTCAAGTCAATCATCTCTGATCCTTCAAACACGCAGATATTGCTCATGCCCGTCTGGAATTAAATGAACAATTTCAGGCTTTCTTGCTATCCTTATTGTTGAGCCCTGTATTACTTTTACGATATTCCAACAGCATTTGGGAGAGGGTTGGAAGAAAAACTGTACACGTCTTGTACTGAAAAGCAGGCATGTGTGTAAAGTGTGTTTTTCTTCCCTTGGTCATGCTGATCGTATGCATGCGTTCTCAAAGTGAAACCAGTCTCCTGCATGCTGCATCTCTTTTTCTTTTAAAGCTGTCATGCAAGTTTCTCAAAGGTCAACAGGGGTCAGGTCAGTCGGGGTTTCACAGCTGACCCTAAAGTTCAGAGTCTGATTCAGAGTCTGGTGTTATTCCCGTCTGATGCTTTCTGACAGGAGCTGACCCTCAGCTAAAGAAAGTGAAGCAGAGTTTCCCTTCTGCTCTGAACAGTAATATTGGGGATATTTGCACACAGGACTTTCACCACTGTGGTTCCTGCACGTTTAAAAGTATATCTGTTTAATCCTTAAACATATCTGTGTATGTATGTAATGAGAATTCTGAGAAAAAAGTCAGGATAATGAAAAAAAGGCTGAAATTTGAAAAATTACGAATTTGAGAAAAAAAGTCATCATTTTTATGAAAGTCAGACATTTGTAAAAAACGCAAATATAATTGAAAAATCTGAATTTTGAAAATAGTGAGAATTTTGAGAAACATTTGAGAATTGTTAAAAGAAGACAGAATTTTGAAAAAAGTAGGAATTTTGTTAAAAAGTGAGAATTTGGAAATAAGTAAAAAAATCTGAATTTTGAGAAAAAAGTTCTGAATTTTGAGAAAATGTCAAAACTAGAATTATAATTTTTTTTAGATAGTCAGGGTTTTCAGAATAAGTCAGAAAAAAAAGTCAGAATAAAAACAAAGTTTGTCTGTAAAGAAGATGGTTAGGTCAGCATAAAGCAAATTCAGGCAGTAGGCGTCATCGGTTCAGAGTTTAATGTGTTTCTGTCTTATTCTGTTGCTGCTGCAACACCTGACTTTAATCGATACAGGTCCATCTCATCTTATCACAGTTGATGTCTACATGATAAGGTAAAGAAAGAAAGACACAGAGCAAGAAGGTACAAAACGCCACGGTGATAGAAATGTGAATTCTTCCACATGCCCATGCAACAAAATGCTTGTTTCTGCACACACACTGCGAGCACACAGAGTCCCACTCTGCTGCATGCACATGCACTTCAAACACCTTCAGTACGATCAGGCACTTTGCAATCAATCCCCGAGTAAGAAAACACAATCTACTCTGCAAACCTGAGGACCTGAGTGTTGAAAAGACAAGGTCACGTTATGAACATATTCCACAAGTGAGAACAGAACAGATCAAAGCCTGCACACACTCTGCTGAATCCAGAATAATAGTAATGTTATAAAGGTAACTGTTGTTTGTACGGGCGCAAAAGCAACGTTTTCATCACAGTAAACAAAGCAGCCTGTGGACAAAGTGAGCCCGCAGATCCATACAAAGAGAACTAATCAAAACAAAAGGACAAAAACCACCAGATTCAGAAACAGTTTCATCCCACAGGCAATACGACTGTTAAACACCTGAAGTGTTGAAACAACATCCATAACATTCATCTGCTACCTAGTCATTATTTATCTATTTATCTAATATATCATTCCAATAGCTTGCTCTTATTTCACTATTTTACTTTTTTTAAACAATTTTTCTTTTTGTATTTACTTTTTAATATTTACTTGCACTATATTTTTCTGTTTATCTGTATTATTGTGTTGCACTGTTGGAGAAGCCTGTGACCTAATATTTTCATCAACATAACTACTGTAGCTATGTTCGTATGACAAATAAAGAACCTTGAACCTTGAACCTTGAACCTTGAACCTTGAACCTAAGGAAGATTCCAGTGCCTGGGTTTACAGACGATCTCTTTGGAAAGGGAGCAACTACATTGAGTTTTCTGGCAGATAGCTTAACACGTATGTAACAACTTGACACAACAACAATGAGTTTTCCTGACACTGTGCACCAGCAAGGACCAACAAGACGCCCCCCAGGACCACATTACATATGTTTTAAAAGACAAACTTAAGGCAGATAAGTGTTTTTCATACAGTTCATTCATTTCCATTTTGCAGCTGTTAGTCCATGAACGAGACAAGTGTCCATGTTTAGTTCAGAAGTCAGTAACACCCATACAGTCTGAGGTGATAACAGCAGAACAGTGGGGGGTCTGTAATCTAAACTGCTAAAGTCAGTTTAACAGAACGAGTGAAGTCCTTCAGGTTATAATCCACAGACATCAGCGACGCTCTCACCATGTCTAAATCACAACTCAAAGTCCCTGTGTAGAGCTGCTTTGTATGTTATGTATGGTTATTATTATAAACAGCCTTGTTAGCGCACATCACTCTAATAACGGGGATTTCATGAGGAAATATGTGTAATGACAGCCTGCTACTCATCTACCATCTATGTGTAGACGATAATACCTCATCAGATTACACCACGGTTAGGATGATAATCTCTTATTGGTTTGTGTAGCGACCATTTTGACATAGTATTGTCCTCATTTCGCCCTCGTTGGTTCACTCCTAAGGACACTCCATGTTTATTAGGACACTAATGGCGCATTTCCACTGCAGGGCCTCGCTCGGCTCAGTACGGTATAGTTAGGCCTTGGTAGGCCAGGCTCACTTTATGCTGCATTTCCATTACAGTTTAGTAGCTGGGGCAGTAACTATAGTAACGCAGTGTAGGCGGAGCCGTGACGTGATCTTCAATGCGAACCACAAAACCAACATCAGCCGTTAGCTGTTAGCACTCAGAGCTCACAGCTCCTCATATCTGTTCAGAAACTAGACAAAAGTTAAACAAGTACAAACCACAGACTGCCTGTGTCATGGAGAATACAGTCGCTGCTTTATTTATGTCTGTAGGCCGTTGTTGTGAGTGTGGACGGTCGGAGCATATACTGCGTTAGCTTAGCCGATCTTCATTCAGAAAACACGCATTTAAAAAGGTTTTTCGCCTGCCGTCTGTCTGCAGACTTGTCAAAGCATTAATTCATGGTTTTTACTAACCGGTATCAGTATGTTGTTACTTCGGCATCATTTTGAAACGTGTATTACAATTAAATCAGGTAAAATATGTTCATTTTGTTGTAGTTGCCAGCGATTCTCTCACTAGTTTAGCATACTCAGCCCGGTTGTTGGCCCGCAAAGAACCTCGATTTTATGGGGCCAGAAAACTGTGAAAAAGTACCCGCAAGCCGGAACTACGCCTAGTGGAAACGCAACCAAAAAACGCGCCGGGCACTCCGCGCTGTAGTGGAAATGCGCCATAACCTTGCCTCTATCGATGAGAGTAACACATGCGTCACTTCCGGGCGAAGTTACGGCCACACCCACTTTTTAAGGGAAAACATTCGCTGTTTTTGGATTGGCGGTAAATACAGATTCAGAAGTTTTCAACAATCACATCAAAAAAATAAAACAACTGCGCTTTTTTTATCTACAAGAAGCCCAATTATGATGGTCAGACAGGCAAACTATAGAAAAATGTCACTGGACATCGATGATCTGCGTAGATTTATAGTTTAATTTAAATAATGTATGTCTGGACGAGTGGCAGGCAGCAGCTTACACTGAAACTGAGATTCTTTTACTGTCCTTTTTTCTGTAGAGGAAGTAAAGAAACCGTAGTATGTGTTACTCTCATCTATGACAACATCCTAAACTCCTCCCGCTCCAAAGTGGAAACAGTAACCATGGAGACCTCAATTTGGAGCAGATTACAGTGCAGAGGCCACAGAGAAAACCTCTCACTTAACATCAATCACTGTCACACACTGATCATCAGCAGGATGACCTTCAGCATCCTCTCCAAGCTGCTCTGCATCACGTGGAAATCCAAATCTGTGCAGGTCAGTCCTAAATAGACGAGGAGGGAGGCATCGTAGAAATGTATCACAAGTGTCATTTAATTATATATATGACTCTGTAACTTCTGGGTGATTTTCTCACAGTTTTCACTTGTATGTAAACCTGTCACTCCCAGGCGTTTATCACACCTTTAATACAAAAGACTGGCCAGCTTCTGTTCTGACCATTGTGGGGTTGATTATCATACGGTTTATAATGAACACGTCACAGTGTAACCCTATGTCTAGCCACCAATCTCCAGCACCCTGTAATGTAATCACTATGTATGTTGACTAGCTGAGACTTTCTGTGTCTCTTCCCTAAATAAAGTCATTGTTTTTCTGTGTAACTGGGTCAGATTTCTTTAGCACACATTGGTGCAGGTTATCTGTCCTTCCAGCTGGAAAAAAGGAAGGATTGATTCTGTTAAATGCTATAACTCTTTATTTAAAGGTCTCCTATTATACTGTTTCTCATCAATATATCACAGGTCTCAGATATATCCAGAGCATGTCTCTGATTGGCTGAAACACCAAACAGATCATTGCAGCATCCCATAATCCCCTCTGTTTCAGCCCTGTTTCCAAAGTGCTGATTCTCTGTCTGTTACTTTAGATGAAAATAAGGAGCCCCTCCCCACGCCCCTCTGAGAGAGATTTGGGTAGAAAGAACATGGTGCTCTAGGAGGACGATTCAGGTGATAAGGTGGGGGGGGTTACCTTGGTTGTTGATTGGCTAATGGTTACACAAGCCAACACATCGTTATGACATCATCAAGTGGCCAAAATCTGATCAGCTCATTTTCAGACAGGTTTTTATAGAAATGGATCAGGACAAAAAGAGAGAGAATCTTTGTTCCTGAAACTTTCAGAGTCTCTTTCCACAGAGGGGACACATGGTGATGAAGAAGAGACATAGGTGACCTTTAAATAACACTACTTTGGTTTAAGCTTGTCTATTTGTTCTTTTCTTACCAGAAGGTGATTAAGTGTGGAATTTCCACCACAGAAGGAAGAGGAAGGAGGAGGTCAGGCAGGGAGAAAAGGAGATAAAAGAAGGACTTACTCTGAGGACATGAAGGAGGACAGTGGCCCGACTTCCTTCGCTTTCTGCAGAGCGTGTTTCTGATTAAACGCCGCCTCCGCCTCCTCTTCATCCTGATCAAAAAGAGGACAAAAGTGTGTTATGGCCAGGGGTGCATATAACTTTCTTAGTGAGTTACTCAAATGAGTACCAGGAGACAATGTTTGGTACTCAGGGCTGCCCACGCAAGGTTATGTGTTCAGCCCCTCTGTTTCGCGAACGTGGACATAGTGGGGGTGTGGTATTGAACGTCGACGGGAGGGGTGGAGGGGGGCACTAGTGGAGCACGCGCACGGAACTCGCGCCGGACGTTGTGGCACAATTCCGTTGTACACACCGACGTTACCAGCAGCCCCGTCTGTGCGCACGGCGACCGGCTCTGTCGTCCAGTGATCGTAGCGCCTTCTGGAAATGCTTCACAAGTCCGCCAGTACGCAAATGCGCTTAGTGAGACAAGTGACGGTACGCATTTCAGATGTTTGCCGCGCATGCGTACCAGTTATGTGCACCCCTGGTTATGGCAATGATCAGAATCAGAATCAGGTTTATTAACAGGTAGGTCGCCACGTACGAAGAATTTGATTTGGTGTTGTGGTACACATTTTAAATTATGGAGAGCAGTATCAATAAAGAGTATCGATGAATACTGGTATTGATAAAACCCTAAGTGGGACTATTTGATTTCATTCATCCTAGATTGACTTTGTTAAACAGGTGGTTTGTGCCTCTTGTGTTGTACTCATTACGCTACGTCCACACGGTTCCGTCGCGTTGAAGCTTGCCGGTGGGCGTGTCTGGTGCGCGACTAACAACCAATCACATTAATCTCCCGCCCCGGACACACAAGCACGCGGTTTGATTGGCTAGCGCTTGTACTGGCATATGATTTGATTGGCTGGCGCTTCCGTCGACGCTTGAAAAGTTCTCAACTTTCGAAGCGAGCAACGGAGGCAAAGCGACGTGACGGAAACAGGTTTATCACCAGGTAGGTTGACACGTACGAGGAATTTGACTTGGTGTCGTGGTGCATACATAAAAGTAAAACAAAAATAAAATACATAGACAGAGAACTATTTTAAGAAAGCTATAATAACATTAAAAAAACTTTAAAAGATAAGGTGAAATATAGCAGAATTTACATTGAAATTGAATGGAATAAAATATGTGCAGTCATTTTATTGTAAATGGTATTAAAGCTTAATACAGTGAAACTAAATGTTTAACTAAGTAGTAATCCTTTCAAGTGTTTTAGAAAAATATCTTAAAAGACTTTATTTCGATATTGTGTTTCTTTGCATATTTGCCTAACTCGTCATTTTCTCTAGACAGCAGCTGATTTGAAGTTGCTACGACAAGTGACTGAACATCTGTGAGTTTAAATAATGAAACAGAATCACCATGGAGACGAGAGCCAGGGCTGGACACGCTGGAGTGGGTTTACTAACAGAATCAGAGCACTTTGTATTACCTTGGTGAGTTCTTGTGCGTTGGCGAGGTTATCCACAGCGATGGCCAAGAACACATTCAGCAGAGTGTCTGTTCACACGTTCAGGACTCAGCAAAGTGCAACCAGAGAACCCTTGAAATACAGACTGACTCAACACTGACACTCCTCTAGAGAGGAACGATAAGTTCAAATACTAACCCCTGTATGAAGAGAAATGTCTATTCCACGTTTACAAAAAGCCTTTCCAGCTCACTTACAGTCAAGATGGCAGAAAATAAATCACAATTCATCTTAAATCTATATATCAGGCATGGATTAAATCTGCAGATGCTACGGGTTAAGATCAGAACAAACTTCTCTGTGGATGTGAGATAATTCAAGTCTAAATGTGGGTGGCAACACACTAAGTTAAACTGATTTTTAGCCAAAGCCATCTGCTGGAAATGCCTTTGTAACTCATCATATAAGTGATTGAAGGATACAGTTTCCAAACAGTGTGAGCACGATGAAGTAGATGGAGGACCACATGCCGGACTTCACTCCTCCCTGAGAGCGAATCCCGTTATACATCACCTCGTTCCAGTCCTCTCCAGTGAGGATCTGAACACACACACACACACACACACACACACATTACAAGAGAGATATATCTACATAAAAAAGCCTGTTTTTAATGTTATATTTGACATGCAAGTTGGTCACAAAGAAGGGACAAGAAGAAAATACCATTTCAATCGGGGACTCGAGGGCTGTTTTATATAATAAATATTGTTTTGAAACCACTTTTTCTACAACTGTACATACATTTAGTTTTTTAAGACATGTATATTTAACAGAAAATGTCCTCCAATCCTGCACATCATTAATCACTGTTATTCAAATGTGTTAATTGCAGAGCAAAACATCTTCAGGTGTTTTTAACTTCCACACCTGAAAGACGGTCATGATGGCGGCAGGAAACGTGTCAAAGTTGGTCGGAGTGTAGTCCTCGAAGATGAACCTGCGGGGAAACACACACACACACACACGCACGCACGCACGCACGCACGCACGCACGCACGCACACACACACACACACACACACACACACACACACAGTGTCAAAAGATGCTACCTTACATCGAGAGGTAATATCATGGTAATATGGTAGTACAGTATGACTAACATCAGTGTGTGTGTGTGTGTGTGTGTGTGTGTGTGTGTGTGTGTGTGTGTGTGTGTGTGTGTGTGTGTGTGTGTGTGTGTGTGTGTGTGTGTGTGTGTGTGTGTGTGTGTGTGGAAATGATTAGGTTAGTCTCCCTGCCTCTCGGTGGTTCCTCTCGTTCCTTAATGGGCTCGTACGGAGCGATGGATTTGTTAGACTCAGTGTTACAGTACCTGCCGCCGAAGAGCTGCATGCCGAGCAGGGCGAAGACGAGGATGAAGAGGAAGAGGAGGAAGATGAGGGAGATGATGGACTTCATGGAGGCCATCAGAGAGACCACCAGGTTTCTCAGAGACGCCCAGTACCTTCAGGGTCACAGAACATCACACATTAGAGCAAAACAGATGACTAAAGATTTGATATATTTTAATTTGTTGAAGTGTGTGTGTGTGTGTGTGTGTGTGTGTGTGTGTGTGTGTGTGTGTGTGTGCGTGTGTGCGTGCGTGCGTGCGTGCGTGCGTGCGTGCGTGCGTGCGTGCGTGCGTGCGTGCGTGCGTGCGTGCGTGCGTGCGTGCGTGCGTGCGTGCGTGCGTGCGTGTGTGTGCGTGCCGTGTGTGTGTGTGTGTGTGCGTGCGTGCGTGCGTGCGTGCGTGCGTGTGTGTGCGTGCGTGCGTGTGTGAATGTACTAGCTAGTTGTTAATTCAGGTGTTTTGACAAGGAAGTAAGATGCATTGAATGAAGGATTATTGTTTAATTACAAATGATTGGCTGCTAGTTTATTTACTTTTATGTGTTTTCCTCTTATTTCTAGCTCAATTCTACATGATTTTAGTAATGTGTACTCTTTCATTTAATAAGTTATACATATTTAACTTTTATCTGAACTGTCTCTTTGCTGTATTAACACTTCCAATTCTTTATAGATTCTGAAAAAGGTCTCTTGTTCTGATAACATACATTTAAAATATTATTTTTAAGCGGCCCATTGTGAGCGTTTCAGGACTGCAATACCTAAATAAAGTCCTAAGATTATAATTATAGATTAAGTATACAACTTTGCTGCATGTAACTTAAATATATACATAGTGAATGTCCTCTTCCAATCTCAGAGTAACATGCTAACAAAGGTATCCCAACTGTAGCTGTGAACATGACAGGATGTATGATTACCTAGAAGAGCATCAGGACTGTTTGAGGCATATGATAGCTATGTGATTAACATGATGATTCAGCCTCTATGGAGATAGACATATGACAAGCATGCTCATTTCTGACGTGGAGCTAATCTGAAGTAAACATTGAATACTGCTTTCTATTCCTCCATCTTGTGACTGTGTAACTCCCTCTCTTGGATATCAGCATGTGAAGGACACTGTTCAGGAACTAGTTGATGCTCTGTATGTGATGACTACTTCCATTCTGGAGAGGATCACAAACACATGGATCCTGAGGTTGAAGCTCAAGCCGGGGACCAGGGAGATGTTTCTAACAGGAACAGAGGACGTCTGCAGGACTCACTTTGTGATTTTGAAGATCCTCAGCAGACGGAGAGCTCTCAGGACGCTGATCCCAAACGAGGTGCCGGGTCTGAAGAAACCCCACAGCACCTCGAAGATACTGCCCACGATCACCTGCAGAATATAATATAATATATATGTTGGAGTTTTGTAGAATGAATACAAATATAAAAAGATATATACAAAGGGTTGATGCTGCATCATTTAATCAAACCAAATGGTTCGAGAAGAAGAAGTAACAAACACAGATACAAAGGGATTGAAGGACACAAGTAGATGGTTTTTTGTGGAATAAATAATAAATGTAGATAAGGAGACGGAGAACTGACACTGCAGTCGAAGCGGTTGAAGGACGAGTGGAAGTAAAGACGAGGACCCAAGCTGTACATCTTCAGAAACATCTCCGTGAGGAACAGAGCGAGGAACAGGAACTCTGCATAGTCTGCAACAACAACACATGACATGTTAGACGCTTTTATCCAAAGCGACTTACATACTCAATACTGTGGACAATCCCAGGAGCGAAGTGTCTCAGGGACACAACGACATGCTGACTGCAGTGGGGTTTGAACCTGTGACCCCCTGATCCCAACACCAACGCACTAGTACACTGCGCCACACCCTCCCAAACAATAAGTATGCATATTCCACACTTACAAAGACATCTATAAGAGGAAGCAAGACATGTTCAAGCCATTTAAATCATTAAGTGGTGGAAAGAGCTGAATTCATCTGAATTTAACTCCCCAAATATTCGACTTTAAAATGATGGACAGTAATTCTAAACACCAAGTGGCCTAGTTTCTTTTTTTTATCTCTCGGACATTTCTTAAATATATTGTGCACAAAAAACATGTAAAACTGGGATTTATTTTTCGAATTTTTTAACAAGCAACAAAATAAGACAACTTGCCTAATCCTACTTATTTTATTTAACATGTAAATACTATTAAATATCTTATATAAGTTATAAAAATATAAGTTTTTGTTTTGATAACTGGAACTCATTAAGGAATTTTTTTTAAGTAGCATTTGTTTGCATATACATTTTTTAATTAAGGTTTAGGTTATTGCGATAGTTAGCATCTCTTTATACACCTTACACTTTCTGAAGACATGCAATCATTTGCCATGTCACACCGACTTGTATCTGAAAATATAATATTAAAGGTGGGGTAGGTAATTTTGGAGAAACCGGCTCGAGTGCGCTAGAATTTGAAAATACACAACCGGAGAAAATCTGCCACTTCCTTACAGAGCCCCTCCTCCAACACACACGAACGCGCACATGACCAATAAGGGCACGAGATAAGTCTGTGCACAGATGGAAGGCTGACAGGCAGGTAGGCCATCCAGTTATTTTAGCCGGGCCGGCTCAGATGATCGGTCGTACTTTTTACAGTACTACGGCTTCCACAGATGATATTTTTTTATGGATTTTTTGTCAAAGCACTTCAGATATTCATTGCTATCGGGATGTTAAGAGCATTCCATGGAATATAACAACAAGTGTATCTCGAGCCGGTTTCTCAAACTTACCTACCCCACCTTTGAAAACGTTTTTATTCTACAAAATACCCTAAAAAAAATCGCAGCAATTTACTTTACGACAGGCTGCATTTCTTATTATATGTAGGAGTTTAACTTCTTGAAACCACTTGGAATTAATTGCAGGTTTACCACAAGGTGAGTTCCTTTTATTTCCTGCTTCTTTACACATACTCTCTCCAGTACAGGTTAGCTCTGAGTGTTAGCATGCTAATGTAAACACAGACCATATTACTTCCAGAACACGTCTCATTGTTTCTGACAGCAACGTTTCTGATTGGCCCGTTGGTGTAAAGCCCGCCCACATTTTAGTAATGTCGTCATGACGCAGCAAATCTGGATCAGCTCCGTTGTTCCCCCGTTTTTAGAGATGTGGGTACGGAGGAAAAGAGAGAGGGGTTTGTTTCCTGACACTTTGTGAGTCTCCTGACACACCGGGGATACACCGGGGACACACCGGGGACACACCGGGGACACACCGGGGACACATAGGGACACACCGGGACACATGGTGATGGAGAAAAGACATTAAAAAGTGCATTTTGCATGATAGGAGACCTTGAACTCCCTCAGTGTGACTCACAGAGGAAGGTGGAGAGCCACAGCGGCTGGTTGTGATGAACGATGGCGACACAGATAGTGTTCAGAGCCACGAGACCCAGCACCGTCCAGTAGAAGGTTTGAGTCTTCACCACACGGCGGATGGAGATTCGCAGCAGGCGCTCTTTACGCCGGAAAAACGCAGTCGGACCTCGTTTAGCGCTCCGGATACTCGCTCTGTTGATCGGGACGCCTGCGGGACACAGAGAGGGGGAGGTCGTTTAGTTTATTTGTTTATAGTGTCGTGGACCCAACTGTCACAAAAAACACAATGGGGCAGCTTTTAATTGAATACTGACGAGTGTAAACCTCATGATATGATTATTTTGAGTTCAGACTGTGTACCATGAAACTGCCTTGAATTGAACCAAAGGGGCTGGAAATGTTATTGAATGTTGAAATGTATGTAAGATGTGTCTTTGTATGAAGGGTAGTGTGTTTTTTAATGTTTTATTTGTGTTTGTTTCTGCACCTGTACCTCAGTGTCATTTGACCTTGAGAAATGCACTTCTGCATGTTTGGAACTGTACACTGTATACATGTGTTTTATTGTATCAAATGTGGCAGCTTTAGCAAACATTGCTAATTTCTAGCTGTTGTCCCCGGGCAGATGATGATAGACAACCTTTTTAAAAATCACATTACATCAACAGCATTCGTTATAAAGAAAGGATGAAAGACAAGTAGATGGAGGCGAAAGGATGAAAGAGAACAATACAATGCTAACAACACACGTTACTAGATACATGTCACATATAGCACATCACAATCACAGGACAGAAACCAGGGGCAACATCCATGATGACAACATGTAACACACATGCAATATCCAACACAGACTAGGCGCTAGGGGGTGGCTACTTGGGCTCAAGCCCCGGATGTTTTCTGAAAAGCCCCGAATGTTTCACTGAGAAACGTCTCGTGAGTAATGTGCAGTACCGGAGTCCAACAGAGAGGCAGCAGCTGCGGGACAGTAGCCTGCGTACTACCCCCGCTGCGAGGCTCCGGCGAGTCCACAGTTCACGCTTCTTTCTGGATCAGAAGTCAGATTTTCGACATCCTCCAGGATCATCTTTTTTCATATCGATCACACTTATTGTACGTCGCTTTGTATAAAACCGTCAGCTAAATGCAATGTCATTATAATTGTTATGATTTGGAATGTCTCTATTGTTATTTGATCATATATCTTACATACACAACATTTATTGCATTTCTTGAGAGAGGGATCACTTCCTGGCTTCTACCTCTTACTAACGACCCAGACTCACCCAAAGAGGAGACGTCTCCGTATTGTTCCTCCCCCGTTTGCCCTCGATGCCCGCCATCCATCCCCCTCCTTTTGATGGTGGTGGCTCTCTTCAGCACTGCAGACAACAACAACAACAGGTCAACATCAACAAGAGGAAGACACTCAAAAACACTCTGAGAAGTATCAGGGAACACATGTGAGGGTAGTGACACAAAGCAGACTTTTGGGCAGCGGGACCACTAATATTTAGCTTTTATCATAGACTTTTTGTGACTTTTTGCAGGTAGTTTGTCAATGTTCTAACAGATTACATGCTATTTAGACACTGGGGGCAGTAGGTCATATCTCTGAGTACAGCACAGAATAGTTTTCAGATCGTTTGGCAACTTTAATCACAAGTTTTTACTGTCTCTCTCTACAGAAAAAGGTGATTAAATATGTGGAAAACACTGAATAAAGCAGTTTCAGTGGACACAGGTCGGACGGAGCAAAAGGCTAATGGTTCCTCAGTTTGTTTCTATGATTTTGATAATAAAAAATACTGGTAAAACAACCAAGAGTAAAAGTAGAAGTACTCAGATCTTGTACTTGTAATTAATATTAAGCTTTTATCTTAAGATATTTGTTGACTTTTTGCAGGTAGTTTGTCAATATTCAGATTACAAGCTATTTAGACACTGGGGGCAGTAGGTCATATTTCTAGAGCACAGATTTACTCTTCTGTGAGGCGGTAATTGTTTACAGATCGTTAGGCAACTTGAGACACGACTTTTAACTGTCTTCTTCTACAAAAACAATGCGATTAAATATGTGGAAAACACTGAATAAAGCCGTTTCAGTGGACACAGGTCGGAGGGAGCTAAAGGTGAACCTACGATTCTGATTCTGATTTCTGAATCAAACCATTACCTTCATTGGGATTACATGTTGGCTCGACTGTATACCTGCATTCAAGTGACACATACTTACTGTCGGTGTAATTGTTGCAAACTGAAGGAAACTAGAGGGGTTTTAATACTAAAATCCTCTCCTGTTGCTCACAGATTCTGCTTTCACTCGCAGACATGTGTTTACAGAGATAAGCGGTGTGTTCAAATGGCCCAAAAGACTGCACAGTGCGTGACCACCCTCACATTTCTCAGTGAGGCAGGCAAACTCATGATGCAATGCAGAGATCATGATGATGCAAATGGTGAGAGTTTAATCTCTACGAGGATCATCAGCAAAGTTGTATCTGAGAGGGAGAGTTGGGCTCATTAACGCTGCGGTTCAATGAGATACAAATGATCCCTAATGTGTGTGTAATGATCCAAACGGCTGCAAAACCGTCTGCTTTTATTTCATGATTTCATCGTGGCAAACCATGCTCCGAGGCGCTGCATGCACTTCTGTTTCTGAGCCGTGCCGTGCACACATGCTGCGAGTGTGTGTGTGTGTGTGTGAAGAGTGTGTGAGAAGCGTGTGTGTTGTGTTTTCTCGCTGATGATTGTTTTCATTTTCTCCTCCTCACACCTTCCCGCTACCTGTGTGATTTCTGAATCTACTTGCAGTCAATATTTGCTCGGGGACTTTGTTTTTAATAACACACACACACACACACACACACACACACACACACACACACACACACACACACACACACACAGCTGCCTTTTCAGACCAATAGTTGCTAAGGTAACCGCAGCAGTGTGCCACCTTTTTATTTATTTTAATTAAAGCTCTCAGAGTTTATTTATTTCAAATCACAACAGCTGTGGTGTGTGTGTGTGTGTGTGTGTGTGTGTGTGTGTGTGTGTGTGTGTGTGTGTGTGTGTGTGTGGTGTGTGTGTGTGTGTGTGTGTATGTGTGTGTATGTGTGTGTGTGTGTTTGGTGTGTTTGTGTGTGTGTGTGTGTGTGTGTGTGTTTGGTGTGTTTGTGTGTGTGTGTGTGTGTATGTGTGTGTGTGTGTGTGTGTGTGTGTGTGTGTGTGTGTGTGTGTGTGTGTGTGTGTGTGTGTGTGTGTGTGTGTGTGTGTGTGTGTGTGTGTGTGTGTGTGTGTGTGTGTGTGTGTGTGTGTGTGTGTGTGTGTAGAGACACTACATACTGATATACACCTGAACATCAGCAGGAGAGGACTCTTTAAAGTAGAGACACTACATACTGATATACACCTGAACATCAGCAGGAGAGGACTCTTTAAAGTAGAGACACTACATACTGATATACACCTGAACATCAGCAGGAGAGGACTCTTTAAAGTAGAGACACTACATACTGATATACACCTGAACATCAGCAGGAGAGGACTCTTTAAAGTAGAGACACTACATACTGATATACACCTGAACATCAGCAGGAGAGGACTCTTTAAAGTAGAGACACTACATACTGATATACACCTGAACATCAGCAGGAGAGGACTCTTTAAAGTAGAGACACTACATACTGATATACACCTGAAAAAGTGTGTGTGATAGTGTGTGTGTGTTGCAGGTTGCAGGTTGCAGGTTGCAGGTTGCAGGTTGCAGGTGGCCGAGCAGAGGACGGTTCTCACCATAGACTCCGCCTGTACTCCAATCAGGGAGGCTCCTGAGAGCTGCCAATCAATCAACATTTAATAAATGTGTTTCTCGTAAACCGGGGACTGTAATCCTAGTAATTGTCTTTCTTTTTATTGCAAATATATGACTTTATAATCAAAAAATATGCAAAACATTTCTCTCAAACCTTTTTTTTTTTTTTTTTTTTTTTAACCTTTATTTAACCAGATAAAAGCATTGAGATAAAATCTCATTTTCAATGCTGACCTGGCCAAGAAGGCAGCAACGTTACACATAACACATAACACAGACATATAAAATACAGAGAACATAACTAAGAAAACCAAAGACGAAAAGCAGTCACAACATTGTGCACATTAGGACAGTAAGAAAGGTACTACTTATTACTGCAAGAGCAGCTGGTGGTAAGGACCTCAGACAACTTCAATTTAAAACATGCTATTGAGACAAGTGCCCTCAGTTTTAGGCTTGATTGAAGGTCATTCCAAGACCAAGGACCATAATAAAAAAGACTCCTTTTTCCAGCCTCAGTCCACACAGCAGGAACCTGGACCCGTATCCAGGCACTGGATCTGAGGTTGTGAGAGTCACAAACTGGAGCAAATCTGGCACATATGTACAGTGGAAGCTTACCTAAAATGGCTTTATACATTAATAAAAACCAATGCTGCATCCTACGCATAGTAAGTGAGGACCATCCAGTTAGGCTATACAGTTTGCAATGATGAGTCCTATAGGGTGCATTTGATATATAACGCAGTGCAGCATGGTAGAGTGGGTCAAGTTTGGCCAAAACAGTGGGACAGGCAAATCTATAGATTGTATCACCGTAGTCCAGCTGGGACAGGAATAAGCCAGAGACCAACCTTTTACGGGATGAAATTGAAAAACAACATTTAAGTCTGAAAAGGAAGCCAAGAGTGAATTTCAATTTCTTTGTTAAAACTTCAATATGGTGTTTGAAGTTCAGATTACTGTCCAACCAAAAGCCCAGATATTTGTAGGTATCAACAAACTCAACAGAAACGCCATCGAGGGTGTCAATGGAGAGGCAAGAGGAGGACGCTGACTTGGGAGCAAAAAGCATTGCTTTGGTTTTCTTACTGTTCAATAGCAGTTTGGAATCAAGAAGTGCATGCTGCAGCGTGATAACATCAGATTTTAAATTGGAAACGGCCATATCCAGAGAAGGAGCACACGAGTATACAATAGTGTCATCAGCATACATATGATAGGTAGAAAATTGCATCTGATTACAAATATTGTTTACATATAATAAAAAGAACAAGGGCCCCAAAATAGAGCCCTGTGGAACTCCCTTCTCCCTCTTAGGTGCCTTACAAACAATGGACGTCCACTCTCGGGAGCGTCGGAGTGGTGCGGTCACCCTAAGTGACAGACCTAAAGTATCCGGGATTCAGGCATCTTCCCTGGCTTGTACATTTTTGGTGATGCGCCCTGGAGGTATCAGACTATTTTAAACAACTTTTCCCCGCTTTTCAAACACTTATTCCGAGGTTTTAGCCAGTCATTTTGCACGAAATCATTTAACATTGACGGTCTCCTGAAAAAGCACATATTCTGTGCATTTTCAGGAGAGCGTCTATGTTAAATGATTTCGTGCAAAATGACTGTCTAAAACTCTCTTCCAGACATTTAAAAATACTTTCCCCGACCATTTAAACATTATTTCTGGCTTGTAAAGTGCAGTTATGCGCCCTGGAGATATTGCACTATTTACAAAATGTAGCACTCTGTTTATTTCACACCTCCAGGAGAGACCAGGGGGAAATCACCTCTCTCTGCCCCCTCACAGAGCCCCAAGGACGGACTAATTACCTCCAGCATGTCCCCATAACAGTGGGACTCTGTTTCTTTCACAGCTCCAGCAGAGACCAGGGGAAAATCACCTCTCTCTGCCCCCTCACAGAGCCCCAAGGACGGACTAATTACCTCCAGCATGGGCCCCTAACAGTGGGACTCTGCACCTCCAGCAGAGACCAGGGGGAAATCACCTCTTTTTGCCCGCTCACAGAGCACCGAAGGACGGACTAGAGACCTCCAGCACCAGTCCCTAACAGGGGGACTCTGTTTATTTCACACCTCCAGGGCGGAGACCGGGAAAATCACCTCTCTCTGCCCGCTCACAGAGCCCCAAGGACGGACTAATTACCTCCAGCATGGGCCCCTAACAGTGGGACTCTGCACCTCCAGCAGAGACCAGGGGGAAATCACCTCTCTCTGCCCCCTCACAGAGCCCCAAGGACGGACTAATTACCTCCAGCATGTCCCCATAACAGTGGGACTCTGTTTCTTTCACAGCTCCAGCAGAGACCAGGGGAAAATCACCTCTCTCTGCCCCCTCACAGAGCCCCAAGGACGGACTAATTACCTCCAGCATGTCCCCATAACAGTGGGACTCTGTTTCTTTCACAGCTCCAGCAGAGACCAGGGGGAAATCACCTCTCTCTGCCCGCTCACAGAGCCCCAAGGACGGACTAATTACCTCCAGCATGGGCCCCTAACAGTGGGACTCTGCACCTCCAGCAGAGACCAGGGGGAAATCACCTCTTTTTGCCCGCTCACAGAGCACCGAAGGACGGACTAGAGACCTCCAGCACCAGTCCCTAACAGGGGGACTCTGTTTATTTCACACCTCCAGGGCGGAGACCGGGAAAATCACCTCTCATTGCCCGCTCACAGAGCCCCGAAGGACGGACTAATTACCTCCAGCATGGGCCCCTAACAGTGGGACTCTGCACCTCCAGCAGAGACCAGGGGGAAATCACCTCTTTTTGCCCGCTCACAGAGCCCCAAGGACGGACTAATTACCTCCAGCATGGGCCCCTAACAGTGGGACCTCCATAACCTTGCACACCCTGAGTCCCCGGGCCCCCACAGTTAAGCACTCCCCCACGGACTAAACACAGGTATTCACACCCACCAGAACCTCGTGCCCCTGGTGACCTTACAAGGGGGTGGTTTTATGGTGCTTCTGTGTCCGCCCATCAGCATCCATATTGGGCCTTCTTCACGGCATCACCCCCCCTTCTGTGGAGGGTATTCTCGTGCCCCTGGTGACCTTACAAGGGGGTGGTTTTATGGTGCTTCTGTGTCCGCCCATCAGCATCCATATTGGGCCTTCTTCACAGCATCACCCCCCCTTCTGTGGAGGGTATTCTCGTGCCCCTGGTGACCTTACAAGGGGGTGGTTTTATGGTGCTTCTGTGTCCGCCCATCAGCATCCATATTGGGCCTTCTTCACGGCATCACCCCCCCTTCTGTGGAGGGTATTCTCGTGCCCCTGGTGACCTTACAAGGGGGTGGTTTTATGGTGCTTCTGTGTCCGCCCATCAGCATCCATATTCGGCTTTCTTCACGGCATCACCCCCCCTTCTGGGCTGGAGGTTCAAACACTTTAACTTTTGTTCACCCTCCTCTGGCTTACACCTCCTCCGCCAACACTTGAGCGCTCATCACAGGGTTCAGCACCAAGGAGAGTGCCTCCCCGGTGCTGATGGAAAGTGGCACTTTTTCTGCCCCTGGTAATCATCAAGGTTATTGTTTTTTTTTTTTTTTTTATTTTATTTGAACAAAAAACACAGTTGACAGTACAGAGAGGCTAAAACATAAACTATTTACACGTACTACTGCTACTATAACAGTACTACTAAATTTCTTAACCTACGTTTTAAAGTGCAGTTATGCGCCCTGGAGGTGTTTGCACTATTAACAAAATGTATGCCCAGGATTCTGGCACCTTTCCTGGCTTGTAAAGTGCAGTTATGCGCCCTGGAGATATTGTACTATTTACAAAATGTATACACAGGATTATAATAATAATTATATACACGGTATACATATTCACAATGTTTAGCGGGATTCAGGGGACCAAATTAGGCGTCTAATTCTCACGGTGCACCAGGGCAAACAGGTTGAGTCCACGGCCCCTGCCCCATCATCAGGAGTGTCAACCAGCCCCGGTCCCGACTTCATTGGCCTCTTTCCCTCCCGCTTCCGCTTCCGCTGCTGCTGCCGCTCCAATGACCCATCAGGTGAAGATGATAGAGTTGTACTGTTATAGCAGCCCTCTTCGGAGGTCTCCCCATCTGACAGCGGTAGACATCCTTCTGATGATGATGCAGCTGCTGCCGCATCTGATGACGCCCTGAACATGGAGCGGATTCTCAATGCCTCCTTTATACCTGGCGCATTCGCGTAGAACCGGTCCGCCGTGGTTACGTCGTGACACATAAACCTGGCGAGAATCGACCGGCTTTCTGGATCTTGGTGATGCTTGATATTGTCAGCCAGGGCAGTGCGCAGGATTGTGAAGGTGACGGCTGTTTCTAGCCCAGCATCAGCCCATGCCCTCTTCAAGTGAGCGTTCAGGTTCTTGGAGGCCCGATTCCCCCTTGTGAAAAGGAAGAATTCATTCTGAGGACCCAGCAATGCCTCTTTAATCCCCATCCACCGCATGACCCAGCTAAACTCCTCTACTGTAAGCGCCAGCTGTGCTTCGCCATATGTCTTGGCCGTCTTGTGATCCTGCACATGGATGATGTAGCCCTCAGCAGTTCCCCTTATGGCTGCCTCTAAGACCTCACTGTTTTTCATGTTTGCGTACACGCCCGTACGGTGGCCATACAGGAGGCTCCAATGGAGGGTGAGATAGCCATAGAGAAGCTTCTGGGTGGTTGAGGTCGGCGTGCCGGCCATCAGGTCGAGGAGCTCCGGGATGCGCTTCTCAGCGGCCGCCATGGCGGCGAGAAGCTCCGCCTGGCTCGGCAGACGATCCAGTTTGTTCCTCTTCACGTTAAACTGATGTAGAGTGACTGCCTTATTCAAGTGTTTCATGTTGGCTTTCACCTCTCTCATTATGTGGGTCATATCAGACTGGGTGAGCTTGCACCCCCGGGGCTTTGACTCAGACATGTACCCCATGAACTGGTGCACATTCTTCAGGAAGAACTCTGATGTTGTGACTGCCCGGCCCGGCTTTACAATATACTCGCTCCAGCCACGGATCATCTTC